AGTGAGACGCTCAAAGGTCATTTTCGTTCATGTTAGTTGGCCATGTTGGATTGCAGTTCCGTAGCTGTTCGTCTACGCCTTTGTCTTTCCGTTTATCCTGCAGTTATTCACGACTTATCTTGTTGCTTATTGTTCACGAATGTTGCGTTTCACCCATTTTTTGTTTCCCTTGCTGTAAAAATGAATTATTTCTTTGGTTTCGAAAGTTTTCACTACCAGATCGGTGCATTCATTTCGTTGCAATTGTTTCATACCTTGAATTCATGCAGCTTTCAGTGATTTAGTTGTTTTCAGCTGTTAATGAATTGGTAATGTGTAGAAGTTTTGAAATTTATGCATATGAACTTGCTTTTGTGGCAGAAGCTGTTGTTTCCAGTACATCAGTTGATTACCGTTATTATTGTTGGCCCAGTTACTTACATCACATATAGAAATCTGGAAAAAAGTGTCTCTCTCGTTCATGTTTGCAGCATGCAACAATCTGCGAGTGAATCTGTTAAAGAGAGCACCATCAGAGTTGCTTTTAGCAAGGTTATTGAAGAACAAATTAGACCTGGAGAATTTAGAACCTGTGTTGAAGTTGAGAATGCTTCGAAGCTTTTTGAGAATGTGAATATGCCATCAGTGAGTCTGCTACCATTTAAAAAAACTTATTGTGAGAGAATCTTAGTCAAACAAGGTTGATATGCATGAAAAGTATGAATTTGTTGTGCTTGTGTGTATTTTGGGAATTAAAAGAAACTGGAATCCTTAAGGGTAAGTGTTACTTATGCTTATTATTGCTTAATGTACTAGATTCAAATAAATGTGCTGAGACTGCCTGTAATGGAGCCAGTGTTAACATTCATTCGATGTGTTGCAAAACGGTTTTCAAAGCGGATAAAATACGATGATCTGGTGAGTGTACGAATTCTCCAAGTTAAAGGTAATACATTAATTAGGAAGAATGATGTCTTGGGTTGTAATCTACGATCGGTGGTTTCCTCGAAGTTGTGATTTTTCCGTGACTATCAACACGGATGTCCATGATCTTTAAAAAACTCTAAATAAATCTATCTTGAACCAGTAGTCTTCTTTTCTTTGGCGAAACATCCGTTGATACGATCATACGATTAGGTAGCGAAGTAGGATGTTCTGTGACTGAGAATTGTGGTTGTTGTGCTTCGGACTAATTTCGCGCATCTGGCTGTTATAACCGCATGGATATAGCGTTTTCCTTATGATATATTATGATATCTAGAAATCATAAGCACGCTGCCATCGTTAAATTTATTTTTACTCTTTAAACGACTGCAGGTAGTGAGTCGTTTAGGTGGTAGGATGAATACCTCTGAACGTTCTTGTGGAGACTAGGGTATTTTTAATTTTTTAGAGTAGAAGACGATCTTTTCACCACGAAAGTTCTCAAAATTTCCGCTTTTACTTCGTTATTCAAAGATAACGTTAAGTTGCCCACTATGGTAGTAGCTATAGGAGATTACCTTCAGCGGAAATTATATTAAGGTAGCTTTAGGTAATACGTCATAGAAGTAAGCAGCGTAGGTTAATTGTGTCTAAATGTATTAAACGTTGTATAACTGATCAAATCGTAGTTCTTACATACGAGTTAGTTTTGTAAATAATGAATGTACCGTACAAGCGTTTCCTTGATTTGCATACCTAACTCTTAAACATTATGCCTGCATGTGGCATGCATTTAGGTCTAATACGCTGTGATGCATTAGTCCGAGATACTTAAGTCAGATTCTATTTCTATATAACTATTGTCAATTTTGCAAGCCTTGGCATTTGTGGGAGAATTTATGAAAGATTTGTTTAGTGTACACACATCAAATGAATAGGGAATACTGGAGGTAATTAGACGCATAAAGGCGTAAGTTATTTAATATCCATAAAGTAGATATGCAAATACCGCAGTTGTTGATCACAGTAATGATGGATATTAGATAACATCCTATGATTCAACGGCATATTAGAAATAAATAAAAATTGTTTCTTAGCTCATTGTCAAGTGAATAGTCTATTTGATGATGTCACTGCATATTAACAGATTAGTGAAGTATCTATCAAGCCTAAGTTACTACATTTACTTGTACCACATACTTGGCGTTTAACAGTATATAGACCTGCAACTGGCTAGATACGGAGACTTTAGCGCATCGAACAGTACAGAATTATTGTTCAACTTGCCAAATCTCATTTAGCATTTACAATGTGCTATTGTATGGAAACAGACACGAAATCCTATTAATAACTAAAGTAACAGTCTCATAATACTACAGTAAAACTCCATCCCACTAACTAAGCTTAGCGTTTATTATTCCTAATTCGCTTATTACAAAAGCACATAGTATAGCAAGGAATTGAAATGTCTAGAGGAAGAAGAAATCAAGAGTATATTAAACGTTTGATTAATTTACAAAAGAAAATTCTGATGAAGGGTATTAACGTTAGTTTGGCCGAATGATGTTTCCGCTGATTTCATATTCGACAACCTCCGTATACCTGAAAAAATAAAGTACATGTAAGAACTAGTGCGACATGAAGTTACAAGTGATAATTCTACATATTAGCATATACTATGAATACAATGATTCTGTCAATACTAAGTAATATCTCATGCAGATAAATGTATTTGTAGTCTACAGCTGATTTTTATGTTGACGCCGTATACACAAATAGACATCATATGTTTTCCAGTATTCGAGGATTATACGCAGATTTCAAGACAATCTTCGAAACATCCATACTATTGAGGCGTCATTCTCTCATCAAGCTTACTTGCAGATCAACTTCACACTAAATACTTTTACATGAAATGAAGTATTGCAAATGTGTAACTTAGAAATTAATCCACAATCTCAGTTATATCTAGTGCGCAAGGTTTTGTGAATCCTACAGAAATCACATTCTCACATTTAGGAGAATATAGCCACCAAATATAAGCTGAACATGCCTCAACTCTAAACAGCTATGCAGTGTTAACAACATACGGAAACACTTAAACTATTGTAAAATACACAGACCTGTTGTGTTGATGAGGATAATGTCATATAATGCAACCTAGAAAATACAATCGTGATACCGCAACTGTACTGCTTTGTGAGAATGGAAATCTCAGGAGGAATTCATTTCCACTTTTAGTGATTAAAATATTGCAACACTAAGTATACACTGTCAATGGAAATTGTATAACAGGCAATAGATTCATAATAATGATGATAAAGCTGATTAGATTCAGTTCTCATAATCGCCACGATTCATGCGTATAATCATAGCGTGTAATGAATTAGTGCACTAAGTGGAAGGAGTAATTTCCTTCCCCACAGCGTTGTACGTGCGTCGGTGGCACAGTGGTTAGGACTCTCGCCGACCATGCACATGGTCCGCGGTTCGAGCCCACGCCGGCGCACACCTGATATCTATGGTCGGCCTGCAAAATTTGGGCTACCGATATCCATGTTGAAAATTCCATACTTGTACCAAAAATACAGTGTGGAATCAAGCTGTAAATAAAAATTTAAAAAAAAATGAAAAAATAAATACTTGCAATAATCGTGACAACTACCTTCGTTTGTTATCCTATCAATCAGCTAAGTAGACAATGGCACAATATTATTAAAGTTGAGATATTTTTGTACATTTAATTCACATAACCCATAGTACACTGCACCAATCAGTGCCAATATAAATGAAATCTACTTAGAGATAACCTCTCAACTTACCATAATTCCTGTCCAACCACAGATAGCGTGAAAAGCACATCTAAATGATATTTTAGGTTCCCACAAACGATTCTGATAGCATTTGCAGGTGATTTCCGAGAACTGAGAGAATTATTTTGTCAAAACAGACTATTCTTCACACGAACATATGATGTATTGATATCCTGAGACATGAATTCATGCAGACTTAAGTTTTCATTGAATCATGCTATGCCGAAAGGTGCAGCTTCTACATGGAGTAAACGATTTGTGTAAATGGCATTACCCTCTAACTATCCTATCTTCCTCATTACACCGATATTTTGATACAGTCCACCTGAAACACTAATCATTGCAACCAATATGCTAATGTAACGCACACAGACCACACGCACGACGGTTGAAGAAGAAGGCAAAACGGTAAGGAGGAAGCGTTTATTTCAAGGAAGCCAGACTCAAAATTACCCGGGTACAAGTTAGTTATCATCATTTATAACAAGCTTTGATAACTGCTCTTCCTCTTGCTCCAATGATGCCACATCACCGTTTCTTTCTGCAAAAGAAGAAAAGGAAACTTGTTTAGTGGCATTGTATCGGTTTCCATTGCATTACACTAAAAGTGTGTCGCAGTCAGATCACATGACGCGGACACCAACATAACTAGCCAAAAAATGGGAATTTCCATGAATCTAGATAACATATAACACAGTTTTATTAAAAATTATTGGCAAATAAAAATTTCCAAGCGGAACTTCACCAGAACGTGATACATAAGTCCAGCCCAAATTAACTGTCCGGCTCAGAGAACACAACCACATCAGCAACTTGATAGATATTTATTTTACTTTTGTTTTTGATTAAAGCTTTATTCCACGCCGTGTTTTTGGTAGAAGTATGGAATTTCAGCATGGATATCGGGAGCCCAAATTTTCACGGCTGTCCATGGATATCAGGTGTGCGTCGGCAGGGGATCGAACCTCAGACCATGTGCATGGTCGGCGAGAGTCCTAACCACTGTGCCACCGACGCAGTTAGTTTAGGGGATATTTTCACTTCATGTTTAGCTTTAGTGAATATTGTTGTTGGACTACGGCCATCAATTAAATCTACCCCCAAAGTCAAGACTACTTGAAACCCATAGCAACATGGCAACGGACATCGTAGTGAGGTATGTAATAAAGTCACTCGTCAGAAATGTCTTTTCATTGCAAAATTTCATTTAATAAGCATATAAAAACATAGCTTGCTACAAAACCAACATAGCAACGGATGTGGATGCTACAGTTAGCGGGGATATGCAAAAAAGCCAGTGGAAATTACTGTATGAAGTCAAGAAAGACTGAATAGATCTATTTCCCCGCGTGAAACAAAGGAAACCTATCAGAAGTTTCTCACCCAACTGTGATTTTTACGACTGTTTGTAACTTGAAGCAGTGGAAGGCGGACTTGTAGATTTTAGCGTTACCACGTTGCGTCGTTTCCGTGACTTCAGGTTGGTTATCAATTCGACAACTAGTAGCCCCCATGAGTTCCAATTTCATGAGTTTTCCCCTTTCTGCTGATGTCTTTTTTATAATGTTCGTTGCGAGTTCCATCCTGATTCAGGGTAAAGGTTATCATTTCCCACCATGGTGGGAACACAGTGGACGTAGCAGGAGAGTTCGAAAGCCAAGAAGCAATCATATTGCTCTTGAGTACTGGTACCCATACCGAGTCATCAATTCTTAGAACTAACTCTCAGAAGATGTGGTATCTGCAACCTCAGCTGATTCACTCAAGAAGGGTTTGGATAACCACAGAAATTTACTAGAAAAGGATGAACATAGTCTCCAAACCTTCTATCCTCAACCAAGAAATCTGAATCTGAAATTAAGGTTAGGGTGAAACTTGTGACGAAATTTGTGAAAAGCATGCATTTTTCGTGGTGAGTGATCTGATTGGATGGTTCACGGTCATTTGGCTCTGTTGTCTCCTATTCACTATTGCCCTAAAGATATCTTCAGGTGAAAAACGTCGACTTATACGGAAGAAGTTGAATTAAAGGAGGCATCCAGGCACATTACGTTTTACTAGATGGATTCACGTAGGGTTTCATATATTGAGCCATACATAAAGTTGATTTCAAATCAGATTAAGTTATAGCCTTCTGGATTCTTATAACGAAATCCAGAAAGATCGAATGTTTGATTAATCTACCAACAAAAGAGCACTTGGACCTAAATAAAACCCATGAGAGGAAGCTCCGTTACAGATTCAGATGATAAGGCTCAGTTGGATCGTGTTATCTCTGCTATTTCTTGCAATATACATCTCTGCAGAGATCTAATTCCTCTTCTAAAGTGTTCACCGACGGGCTGGTGCCACTTGATCGGATAAGCAGTTCTAGTCATTGACAACACTCTATGTGAGAATCCAAATCCCACGCATATTTTATTCATCCGCAGTTCCAGCTAATTTTTGTCGAGGAGGAGGAAAGGTTAGAAAGGTCAATCCACAAATCACCATTTAATAAAAGATATGCCAAAATTAAGTCACCTCTCCTCCTTCGGTATGATAATAGGAAAAGATTTAATCTATTCCGGGAAAACTGCGGTAATTCACTTGGGTCAGAGGTCTTATATGTCGTACGCCCTGGGGGATACGGGACTGCATGATGTTAAGGGACAAAAGGACTTGGGAATTATTGTCAGCCATGATTTGAAAACAATTGCATTTTGTAAGGCAACTACAAATAAGGCTTTTCAAATGTTGTGGACATCTCGAAGAGGTTTCAAACAATTAGATAAGTCCTTGCACCAATTAGTCTACGCAACATATATCAGGCCTCATCTGCAACATTGTATTCATGCGGCTAGTCCGTGCTTCGAGACGGAGGCCAAATTTGTCAGTGATATCTCACGTTCCTTATCAGAAGAGGATGGAACATGTAAATCTCTTCCCATTATCATACCGAAGGAGGAGAGGTGACTTAATTTTGGCATATCGTTTATTAAATGGTGATTTGTGGATTGACCTTTCTAACCTTTCCTCCTCCTCGACAAAAATTATCTGGAACTGCGGATGAATAAAATATGCGTGGGATTTGGATTCTCACATAGAGTGTTGTCAATGACTAGAACTGCTTATCCGATCAAGTGGCACCAGCCCGTCGGTGAACACTTTAGAAGAGGAATTAGATCTCTGCAAAAATGTATATTGCACGGAGTATCATTCATTTATCATTGATTATTTGAGTGTGAATTCTGATTTTTTCTGATAGTTTAGTTCTTGTATTACCGCATTCTGGTTAGTTGTTGAGTGCCATTGTTGTAGTGTATCGGATTGTCTTGTATATTTTAGTATCTCCTATGTGCGTTAGTTTTAGTGACAGCCAAAAGCCCACCACTAGAGACGAGTCTTAATGTGTGATGCTCCATCCTTCCCGTAATTGAGGTGATTTATTTATACTAGGATGCATCATGGGTTTATTATGTTGAGAACTGTTCACCCTTCAGAAGTGTTGTATACGTACAGATGGAATGACGTGCTTGTCCATTTCACTCTGTGTAGCCAGAACCATTTGTGCATGCTATAGAAACATGTTCCTGTGCTTCACTATCTGAATGTACTACTATGGCTGAAGACTTTGAAAGTCCTTATTGGGCTATCAGTCTTCGTACTTTTGTTCCATAAGTGTACCATAACAGATGTCTATTAAATGGAAACCGGATAACCCGTTTTAGAGAAGCAAAAGTTGTTTTGACTTTATTTGTGCCGATAGTTTTCTTTTTATATATATATATTATACGTATGTATATGTGTACCTAGAATACTGTTGGTATTCCCTTTGTTTTCCAATGAAATATTTATCTTGAACAACACATATGCAGTTTTTTCTGTTCTCTGTTTTCCTCCTTTCGGTACACCATGGCCCATAATGTTTCATCTCCTCTTGGTCACACGATCTCTTTCATGTCATGTTAGCACCGATGACCCAGTCGTCGTTTCCCGTTCACTTTCCGCCCGAACGGTGGCCTGTTAAACGGGCGATGTCATTCGACCGACGGCCTCTTCAGTGGCCCGTGTTCCCAATCTATCTCCATTTTCTCCTACATTTATGTTGAGCAATCGGTGTTTGGTGGTTTCATTCATTGCCACAGTTTCTTTTCGCTCATTCCTTCTGGCCTGGCATTTGATCTTCGGTACGGTGCCAACGAAGCAGACAGCTGTTGATGAAAGTCTGTAACATGTTGGAAATCGTTTTTGTAACATTAGAATTGTAAAATTTCAATAAAAACTTACGTAGGATAAAATTTCTTAATTGGGTAGAAACTAAAATAAGATGAAATAAGTAAATTGAATGACGTAATACAACTGACGGGATTGAGTAGTATTCACCTAAAATTGAACGAGAATCTAGTTAACAGCACCGGTAACAATGGGTAGTAATTTAATGGGTAAGGGTGAAAGAAAAAAATAGTACAATTAAGAGACACAAATTACATATCCAGTGTGAAGACAGATCACGTCCATTGTAGATTTCATGGCTGAACAAATCTCTTTTGTATGCAAAGTTGAGGATTTAACATGTGAATTACCATTGCTTCGTGGGTTTGAAGAATTTTGATTCCCACTCTTTTAGCAAGATTCCCGTTTATTCTGTAGATGATTTTAAAGTTAGTTTGTGGGTTAGCTTGGTGTCCAGATTCGATCAGTTGTCTAAAAATAGAGCTGTTGGAAGTGGGAATCCATTTCCTCCTTTATAAAACAATGACTATGGATAAGTGTTCGATGATGCGTTTGGATAGCAGACACTGGGTACAGCCGACACATACCTAGCAGCTGCACTCAAGCAGGTGAATTGACAGATGTACATTGAAAAGGCAGTCAGCGAATCATTGGTTTCGTCTTCTTGTGTCCCTTTTAAGGTTGTATCTTGACTGTTAGTTGTACCAGTATGACTTGTGTCAGGTTGTTGGTATTCCGCTTCATACAATGTAAATTGAAGTTATATATGTCCAAACCAAGTTCACTTTTAACAGTTTGAAAAAATTTGGGCATTGGGTAAATGATATTCATTATAATAAAGGTCTTCTTGTATTTCCCAATGAATGAAAAACAAAACGGTATTGTGTCTACTGACGTTTCGCTATTTAATGTTGCTAATAGCTTTATCAAAAAATTATTAAACCGGAATTTACAAAATCTCAGCATCTGTATATAACAAAGAGTTAAGGGGTGGGAGAATAGACTTAGACCAAGTTAAAGGGACATATTGAAAGTCGGAATAACAATGAAGATCACTAAACCAAACTATGGTATCAAAACAAAGTTTACTAACTTGATCATCGTTCGTTAGTCTGGGGTCATTTTTGGTTGTCAAGTTGGTGAATTGGTAAAGATAACAAAACCGAGTATAGATTGTTGGATTTGATCAGTGTGTAAAATTATAAAAGCAGTGTGTGTTTACATAGTGAACTTCCATATCACATTTATGTTGATTTTGTCACTTCATGGGAGAGGAAGGTGTTGTAACCAGGTCGGATTCTGTTTTAGTGCATCATTCCTATTCAGGCAATTTGGATGCCACTTTATATGAAATGCTTCTAATGTTATTAAACGTTCTTTGTGGTTTCTGAAGTTTTTCTGGATTATTTCAATATTGTGAAAATCAATTTTGTGGCCTGATTCTACTATTGGCTATTAGCATTAAATAGAGAAAGGTCTGTAAAACAATGTCGCTTTGTTTTTCATTCATTGGAAAAGACAATAACCTTTATTATAATGTAAATTAAAGTTATTCAAAATATCATTTCTATGGAAATTGCTTTTCTAAGTAGTGTTAACATATATATATATATATATCTTTCATTTTATTCTCTTTTTGTGCATAGTATTAAATTCATTTCCAATGATGAACGGTATTGCTCAGTCTGATTTTGAACAATTCTTGAATCTACATGAAGATCAACTGATAGCAAGTGGAATACCTGGTCACTTTTGGTATCGATTACATGAAAAACTTGTTCATGAAGTATACAATATACTTACGCTGATTCTTATTGGTTGCGTAATCACTCCTTTCAGATATATGATGCGAGTACATGTGTCATGATGCAACAGATTGAGTATACAGATGAGAGTGATGGTGATGATGATAATAATGAAGATAGTGACAAAGATTCAACTGGTGTTCATCGACAATGGGATATTGTAGTCAGTGCTGAAAAAGTTTCATCATCTGACAGTAATAAGTATGCCTAATATTATAAAGAATATATGATTCATTGAAGATCTACTATACCATTTTCAGTATATTCTTGGTTGATCATGCATGGACATTTGAAGCAGGATCTATGCGACAAAGTCTGTTTGCACTTCCTAATCTCTTACAACGTATGGCTTCATTAATGGATATTGTACACTCGACAACAGACCAACAAAATGAAGAGATTATTTCAGAAATTAGCAAAACAGTATGGAAGTAAGCCCGTGTGTTCCACCCTTCTTCCTCTTGTAAAAATAACTAACTAACTTTTCATAGATTTTGTCGACATTATAAATTATCAGCGCAACAGAATGCTGCCCTATTGTCACAGATACCGGAATTACAACATCTTATGTGGTATGTGCTTGATGAAGTTGGATCGCGTATTCAACATTCTGATGAACCTACAGGTATACATATTATTATCTTACTTAAGACTCTTACGATATATATATATATATATATATATATATATATATATATATATATATAATGTAGGGACTGGTTCATTCTGTAGGCTTCTAATCATAGATTCATATGTAGGTTTGGCGTATTGCCTTGTGCATAAATTCGAATGATACAGGTTAATAGTGAAATTTCATTCCATTGAGCAAGAGTCTTGTCGTCTGACTAACTGGTTTCAACGTAGAACTTTGCACAAATGTGCAGCAGTTCGAGTTGTCACACTCCATGTAGTACACAAACCAACAAAAGAGTGTAAAGAAAGCGGGAGAGGGAGTCCTGTCGTACTTGCTTATGCAGGTTAATTCTCTTTAGCATACAACAGTAATTGGGAATGTAAATATTTATTTCCCGATACGAATTAAAGCCAGCAACACAGGCTGATAAAACAGGATTTAATGAATTCAAATGAGTCGTATGGAAAGGCGATTGTCTACTCGCATGATATGGAGCATTTTCCAAAGTGGTTGAAAAAATAGCTGAGGTCAAAAAGCCAAAAAGTTCAATGACAACTGCATCTTGTCGACTATGGACGTGATATTGACGCTGCCAAGTCATTCACTGTTGACTGTTATCTCATATCTCTGTCTCTACTGTCTCTATTTTGTATTTCTTCTCTTGCTTGTGTGCTACATGGAGGGAGTGTAGCGACTTGAACTGCTGCACACCGGTGCAAAGTTCTATGTTGAAAACCGAGAGATAGACAGCAGACAAAACAAAGACAGGAAGGCGCTTGAGATTGCAGAGGCTTATGCCACTAGAGTTTATAAACCAGGTCTCTGCGTACAAAAAGAAAGGGTGGTCACTCTGAGTCTACCATGGTAATAAGTTTTACTAAATTAACTGTTATTACTATTAGTAATAATATTTTATTCGACCTCTTATTATTACTATTTCTGATTCATTTAAAACTATATTTTGTCACTATCATTATCTTAACTCTCTTTAACCTTATTATCGTGATTATTGTGTTAGTACTATTATCATTATTATTCACTTCAATTCTAGAATTTTCAAAGTTCTACCACACACTCGTAATTAATTGTTTATTTAAGTGATCTAATCAAGGCGTAATGCATTTTATCTTAATTTTATATCGATCCCTGTATGTAAAGTATGTAGTTGAAGAGGAGTTCTACCGAAATATGGTGAATTCATTAAATCTGCTTTATTGAACTAAATTAGACTGTTGGCAATCAGCAGTAATATCCTGTTTGTAAATACAACGTGTAATTTGCCTTTTGGAAGCAAAGATATATTTTATCGCGGATCAGTATGAATTAGATAGGAAAACATTGAAAACCGTAATTCACTTGACCGTTGTTTCGTCTCTAGACTTGGACTCAAACATACACACACACACTAAGGACCCCACCAGAGGTCGAACCAAGCTCCCCTTCATGTTACGAGGTAGGGATGTTTACCCTTCTGTCTGATAAGTCATAATTGTCAGGTTACATCACCAACAGTTGTTGAAAAGCATAACTGTTCACAAATACTAATGATATTAACGACTTAACTATAGTTCATTTAATTTGGTTTCATGTTTCATAACTGATTGGTATCGGTTGGAGGACCATTGAAAACCATTCATGGGCCACTGATTAGTGTCCCAGTGGTTGAATGATCCACGAGTTAGCTTGACTTGCAACCAGAAGGTCCTGGGTTCGAACCCCAGGAGGGTGGGTGCACAATTCCGTTGAGTCCCAAACAAGACTGAAGAAACTCTGGTTTACAATGGTGGTTGTCGAACTGGTATCAATCCGTGATCAAACTTTGAAGAAAGCAATCGCTACAAACTAACTTTTGAAGATTTGTAGTCTGATGATGGTTGGACTTGTTTTGGATTGGTAAGGTAAAACAACTATGGCACATTTCTTGGTGCCGACACCCTATTGATGGATTTTGTTTTAAATAGGATAATGTTATATAACTTCCTAAAACAAAGTCTTCGTCTTTTTTAATTGCAATGATAAGGTTGCTTCTTAATTTTTTTCTGTATTTTATCTTACTTATTTTTGTCCTCAGTTGATAGTGTATTTCTGGAGCTAAGAATTTTATTTTTCATATGTCAAAATTGATTTCATTGAATTTTAGAATGCAGGTACATCCTAACGACAATTTCCAAATGTGACGAAATGCGCACTTTGGATTCCACTGGTAGTCACCATCCACCAATTAAATATATTTGATGTTTAAAAAGCTACTATTCTCAATAGGAAATAGAAATGTTACGGACTCTACAACTGCTTGTATTTGCATTCTAGTTTACGCCGTCTCTGGCATAGACGTGATATCTGAGTATCGACCAAAGGGCGGGTGTACTGCTCACCAGTCCGCTCCGTCCTTCTTTATGGCTGTGAGACCTGGCCACTGAGAGTGGAAAACATGAAATGACTAGCTGTCTTCGATCATAGGCGCCTGCGTTATATTTCCCGTATGAAGTGGTACAATAGGGTGAGCAATAATGAAGTTAGGCGTCGAGTGCCAGCTAGGTAAGGAGGGAAAATCAATCGACGAGGTTGTGAAGTTACATAGACTGAGATGGTTAGGACACGTGTTACGCATGCCTAGCCATCGCTTTCCTCGACGGGCAATGTTAGCTGATATAAGGTCAGGCTGGAAAAGACCTAGCGGCGGTCAAACAAAAAGTGGGCACCAGTCAATGAAATCCACAACAGTTAGTCTAAGCCACGTAGGAAGGTGTAGACTTCCTGAATGGTTGGGGTCGTCGGGACGGTAAAAACCAATGGTTGGAAACAACTGGTGACATGGCTCAAAATCGTTCTCAATGACTGGCGCCGATGCATCCACTCTTTGTGACTTATGATTTCCAATGAAACTGTTTTGTTCTTCGTTACTACTATTTCCTTTGTCTCACACCTCTGTTTCCTGTCTCGATTATGCATTTCTTCTACTTTCTTCTGTTGCTTTGTGTGTTACAAAGAGGGCGTGTGGCGACTTGAACAGCTGCACATTTGTGCAAAGTTCTATGTCGAAAACAGACAGAGAGACAGACATAAATCTTATCAATGCTATCAGATGATGCAATAATTAACTAATTAATTAATCAATACAGACATAGAGGATACACTGTATGATGGAAGGTTCAACAGAAGAGGGTAGGAGTGAGAAGAAATCATCAGTAGAAGAAAATTTATCACGTGAACAACTAGTTAAGTGGATTCGAAACCTAATAATGAGTTCAGCCCAATGAGTGTACACTAAAACTGAGTAAAGATCATGTTATACACATGATCACGAGTTGGCATCGGTTACAGAACCACCACTGAAAACCAGTACTCGAGTACTAGACAGATTATCAGAACATAAGAATTTAGCTAAGGTAAGAATGGTTGATCCTGGAAAGATAAGTAATTTAGAAACAAGCTCAGCTATTGCACTTCACGCATTAACAAAAAACCACACAATAATGTGGGATACGGTTAAAATTCTAAAAAGTAATATAGGTAGGTGGAGAGAGAGGTTGATTACGGAATCCTTATTCATCGAGTCTACACCCAACACATGCAACAGAAATGACTCAATGCAAATACAGAAATATCTGTCTGTCTGTCTGGATTCAACATAGAACTTGGCACCGAAGTGCAGCAGTTCGAGTTGCCACGTCCCAAATAGCACACAGAGGTAGACAAGAAGATGAGTGAAGAGAATCAACCGAGTTTGACAAGTATAAGAGTGAAACAGAATGGGTAATGGTAGAAAGGAATATGAAAGATTACAGAAACTGAATACATCTGCGCCATTGACAACGATTTTGAGCCATGTCACCTATTGTCTCCAGCCATTGATTCCTAGAGTCCCGAGGGTCCCAACCCGGGAGTCTGCATCTCCCTACCTGACTCAGTTTAACTGTCAAGGATTTCATGGATTGATGCCATGTTTTTGTTTGGCCACCACTGGCTCTTTTCCAACCTGAACCTATATCAGCTAGTAATGCCCGTCGGGGGAGGCGGTGGTTAGGCATGCGCACCACGTGACCTAGCCATCTCAGTCTATGTAACTTTATAGCCTCGTCGATTGATTTTCCCTCTTTGCCCAACACTCTACGCCTAACGTCAACATTACTTACCTTGTGAAACCACCTAACGTGAGACAGAGATCGCAGACATCTATGATCGAAAGCAGTCAACCTTTTCATGTCTTCAACGCGTATTGGCTATGTTTCAGAGCCATAGAGAAGGACGGAGTGAACTGATGAGCGTACACGCGTCCCTTGGTTGATAACCGGATGTCACGCCTACGCCAGAGATGGTGTAAGTCAGCGAAAGCAGCTCGAGGTTTTCGGATCCGTGCTGAGATTTCATCGCCAATCAGTCCGTTGGTGCTAATGCAACTTCCCAAGTAGGTGAAGTGGTCAACATGTTCTATCACTTCACTCCCTATCACTAAGTTAGGGGTTGACGTGGTCCAGTCCTGTAGCAGCATCTTACATTTTGCAGGGGCGAATCGCATGCCAAACATACGAAGATTGCTGTACAAGGTGTTCAGAAGACTCTGCATTTTTTCAGCATCCCCCAGAAATATGGAAGATATTATTACCTCAAGTCAAACCAGAAGAGGATAATAAATAATCTTAAGATTCTATTTCAATTCAAACACATCAAAACATTCTAACAAGTTACTTATTATGACTATAAAACAACACTCGTATAAAACATTCGTATTTCCCATATAATTGTAATCGGCTAATAACACTCGTACTATTATTCCTGTATGGACATTATCTCACATTGATTTTTAATCCAATATCTAATCGACTCCACACATGTATATAAATGAAAGAAAACATTTGTGTGAGTGAGTGACTTGATATGATTATGAGTGTCAATGGTTTGTGCTCGAAACGTGGTCATCAGTTAATATAACTGTACAACACTGTGTGAATTATCAAAATAAAATCTTATCTATAATGGAGTTGTAGTCTACCACAGTGACCAAGTTTTATACTTATATCAATGAAAGCTGCTAATAATGCTGCTTGGTTGTCCGAACCTTAATAAGTAGAACAGGATTGAAAACCGTCATCCCTAGTGGTTGGTAGTCGGTAGCGCAACACAAGCCACCACATATTATTCTTACCACTTGCTGTGTGCGTCGGTGGCACAGTGGTTAGGACTCTCGCCGACCATGCACATGGTCCGAGGTTCGATCCCCTGCCGACGCACACCTGATATCTATGGTCAGCCTGCAAAATTTGGGCTACCGATATCACATGCTAAAAATTCCATACTTGTCGAAAAATAAGATGTGAAATCAAGCTGTAATCAAAAAATAAAAAAAAATTTATGCCAATGTAAGAATATGCTTAATTTCCACCAAATAAATTTTGGCTATATGTAGAAAGCATGTAAAATATGTGATGTGTCTGTTTATTGACTATGACATATTTTCAATGTCTTTTAAATGTGTATATATCTTGTGATGAATTGTCTCTTATGTTTTATTTTATAGCTCGTATGGTCCCATTCTATTATGTTCCACGAAATCTCTGTTATTCCATCTTCTGGTTTGTTACCGACCTCCAAGAAGGTGGTAAGTATATTTTGATTGATAACTTCTCAGAATTCTTAACAGTGTTGTGAATATTAGGTGGTTGGAGGCAATCGACAGGTAGCCTTTACCTAGGTTTTGTGCTGGTTGGCACTCGTCAGAAAAGCAGGCTTATCTGAAGACTTGAAGGAATTCACGTCCCTTTTGAGATTTGACCAGCGTCGAACAGTGCTGCAGTTAGAACTCAGTTTGCACCAAAGGACTAGACACGTTGCACTAGATACTAACTAGTGTACAGTCAAAAGTACCCAATACAGTCAGCTCCACAGGAGTCCAATCGCGAGCCCTAATAGCTGATTAGTAACGTCTGTAACTGCAGCACTGTGTGACGCAGGTTAGAACCTCCGAAGGCACATGAGTCTCTTGGAGATTGCTAACAAGCACGAAACCTAGATCGAGCAAGGCTTCCTTCCGATTGCCTCCAACCATATAATATCAACAATTCACTGTGCACCGTGATGGTCAGTCACATAGTGGTATGGTGTCCACATTAGAAATGTAACTGATAGAATTCGGTCTGCACCAAACAGAGGACTAGAGACACTACACTAGTTGCTAACTAGTGTCTAATCAAAAGTACTACTGTGACTATTAATATGTTCGAGTGTGGAATTGAAGGGTGTGGTTCCGATGACGTCCATGAGGTGGTTGAAATGGCCTATGGTCATTTATACGTAAACTTTTCAGGATTCAAAAAAATCAATAGTTGAAAAATAATTAAGAGGATAACATATGACTAATTGATGAAGTTTTCAGCAATTCATAGTGTTTAGAGAATATAATAACATAATAGGAATATCCTTTGTTGTGTGAATACATGAAGAGGACTGCACATGCTCTCTCTCTCTCTCTGCATAACATATATATGCGTACTCACACTTGTGACTGGACACTAGTTACTAACTAGTACTCTCATTAATGTCGTATATATGTGAATATTCTTAAGAAAGGAGTTAGTTGCTTGGATCAGCTTACGATAAAGAGATCGATTTATCGTAAGCTGTTATGGAATGGTCAACTGACAAATTTCTACAGCTGGGTACCCATTGGTCGAAAACGAAACCTGGTCCGGTCGCTTGCCACTCGTATTCGACGCATATGTAGCACTGATACTGTGGAAGATGAGTTATACACTTTGAGGAAAATCCTAATGGAAAATGGATTTCCACCACGTTTTGTGGATAAGAATATACATTCAAAGCCTACAAAACGTGACTTATCAACCGCTCCCAAGAAAATACTTTACATGAGCTTAGAATTCAAAGGGGATTTAGCTTCCGATATCATGAAACGAAGGATATCACAGTCCCTGAAAAGAACATTCCCTGCTGCCTCTCTGAGAATAGCTTTTACTAGCCGACCATTATTGTTCAATAACCTGAAGGACAAGATCCCAATGTTGACCAACTCTATGTGCGTTTATCAATTCACCTGCTCTTGTGGAGCTAGGTATATCGGTCGTTCGACTCGAGTTTTGTCCAAGAGGGTGCAAGAACATTATCCTGCATGGCTACGAAAAGGTGGAAGTGGAGCAATAAGAAGCGCGATCATAGAACATCTGGTCGATAATGATCACCCTATCTCTATAGCCTCCGCCTTTAAAGTCATCTACAAGGCAAAGAGCAATCTACCCAAATCCCTACGTACCCGACTCATCTGTATTGCTGAAGCTTTGGCTATCGAAATATAAAAGCCAGATCTCTGTATACAGAAAAAGTTCGTTCAACCCGTCCAACTTTCATGGTCTTAATCGCTCTATGCTAAAATATGCTAATCCCCAATCATATTTTAGCTCTACCAATTTTTCATTTTTCATTTTGTCTATTCAATTTTTCAACTCTTCCTTATTAAGTCGATTGTTATTATTATTATTCTCACTTTGAACTGTCCCCGGTATTATTTCACTTGTTCCACTCTTCATTTTAAATCAATTGTTTTTTACAACGATAAATCCTATGCTATTAAATTTCACACAATATTACGTAACGTTTTTGTTTTATTCGATTTGTCTACTAATCCTAGAATGGCACATCCTTTTTCAAGTTCTATCCCTCCTATGAATTATTCTATATATGACATTAATCTGCTTTGCCACTTGACATTTAACTACGATTATAATCACAAACATTTTAGTCTTAATTGAACTTCATATGATTATTATTATTATTTTATGCATTCACACCTAAGGATATAACTTATTAAAAAAAAACAACCATATATATACGACTGTACAGCTTGATGATAAATTCGTTGAAAAGAGTCTCTTCGCTGAATCACTTGTTTTGATTTTCTAAATGTTACAATGGGAATTTTCCATGAGTCAAAAGTTATTTGTTATCACCTCAAACCTGACTTGGTAATCCAATTTAGAACCAAGGTCCAATTTACTTGATAATATTTTCAACCCCTTCTTTGCTTTGTTTTCTGTTTTTATCTTTCTCAACCACACCTTTTGCGTCCCTCTACCCATTATTTGTGACCTTGACCTGTACACAATCTGACCTGTATTGTAATTATTCTTGCCTTCTATAAAAACTGTGTATGACATGTACGTGTGTGTGTGTGATCAGAATGTCCGAAATGTGTTGCGCCAACACATAACACGTTTCAGATAAACTACGTCCTCTCTTATTGTGTTGTTGAAGTTCATAAGGGGAACTAATTGCTTTAAATTTTTTGACTATTTTGTATACTTTCTATTTATAGACAGTGTAACTGTTGACTACATAGAGCATATAAAAGACGCTGAATTACGACCTTACTACTTACTACCCTGGCAACCAGTAGATTTTTCTAGTAAACCAGTTGAACATACTTACGTATTGACAAATGAATTTTTCACAGTGAGTTGAAGGTGAAATATTTGAAATATTTTCATATTATATATATATATTGTTTTTGAAGACTTTGTATTATTTGCCCTTTGCTCTGTGACCACACAACAACAAATGGTTCTTCTGTAAACCTAGAGGAAAACTAACCTCTGTAGTGTTGTGAGCAGTCGCGAAGTGTTAACTGCCGACAGGCTTCCACAAGCTCACCAAAGGCTTATCTAATTATCACTTTCACGACCAACACTAACAATCTACAGCCAGTTCCCTTCATTAGTTTGAATAAAGAAATAACGAACATATTCGCAGGATAAATACGAGTTCGCTGTATTTTGTGGATTTTCTTCAACTGCATCCATCCTAAACAGTATCAGAATATAAGTGTCAAACTTTTTGATCCACTTTTTTCACAGTAACGTCGAGTTATAGACAAGATATACGCAACACAATTCCAAAGATGTAAACTAGACAAATTTTTTTTCCCAGTGGAACATAGGGCTTCGAGCTAGTGGCTTAAAGTTTCTGTAGCAGTGTTTATTTTACAGGATGGGGTTGCTAGTCCCATGCCCAACCTTTCCTCTTTACCAACATTATTTCTGGCTTAGCGAGGTATAGGAGTGCGTGGGCCGGGAATCGAATCCCGGACCCTGTGCATGGTCGGCGAGCGTCCTAACCACTATGCCACCGACGCCACAAACTATACAAATTATTCAGTGTTGAAAGAGTAACTGCTTATTTTCTATAGTTGTTTTCTAGGGGTTAGATTTGATTTTACAAGTTGATCACGGATTGATATCAGTTAGGGAAACATTCAAAACCAGGGAGTACCGGACAGCTGCTGTTTCATCCTAGTTTGGGAATCATCGCCAGTACGCGCCCACCACCACAGTTCGAACCCAGGACCTTCCGGTTACAAGGCAAGCTGGCTCGTATACCATTCAGCACTGTGACTCGATTCAATGGCCAGTTCATGAGTTCTAACTTCTACCGATTCGTGATTTAGCGCGACCCCAACCATCCATCTTCACACGTGCCTGTATGGACCTCACTGGTCACGACTTCCCATTAGAACTCCAGTACTCCCTGGTTTTCAATGGTTCTCTAACTGATATCAATTCGTGATCAACTTTTAAAAACAAAAGTAACCCTTACAAACCAACTAATCTGATGCTCGCTAGTGACTTGCTACAGAATGGAGCCTCCAGGAGTTCTGATGAGAAGTCGTGACCAGTGAGGTCCATCCAGGCACGTGTGAGAATGGATGTCGCACCTACGACAATGGTTGGGGTCGCGCTAAATCACGAATCGGCAGAAGTTAGAATTCATGGACTGGCCATTGAATCGGGTCCCAGTGGCTGAATGGTATACGAGCTAGTTTGTCATGTAATCGGAAGGTCCTGGGTTCGAACTGTGGTGGTGGGTGCGTACTGGCGATGATTCCCAAACTAGGATGAAACAGTTGTCCAGTATTCCGGTGCTGGTTTTCAATGTTTATCTAACTGATATTAATCCGTGATCAACTCGTAACTGTTTATGAGTCCTTTACTATTCACTCCCCCATCCTCCTGAACTATCCATCATAATATGTATAAATTCACTCTATTGTTGTATCTCTAGTTCATCGTTGTTACCAAGCAAAATCTGAACTTTGCCCCCTAGTCTAATTATTATACAGATAGTTACTCTTTTAACATCAAATAATTCATCTAATTAAATGATCTTTGGAATTATGTTGCGTATACTTTTTATCTGTAACTCGGCACATCACTATGAAAAAAGTATGTTCAAAAAGTCTGAACTTATATTTTGATTTTATTTACGATGTATGCAGTTGAAGAGACTCCGCGAAATAAAACGAGTTCGTATAACCCTGAAAAATATTCGTATCTTCATTATTCAAACAAAGAAATGCACCAACGTGATACTACAATAATAATAATAGTCTTTGAGTATTGGTTTGTAGCGATTCGATTGATTGACTACAGGATTTCATCATGAGCTGAAACCGGTTAAAAAACCATAGAAGAACTTGGGAGCACTTGACTGATGTTTTGTTCTAGTTTGTGACTCTTCATCAATACGTACCAAGCGGAGTAGGTAGTAACATGGGGTCCCAGTGGAAAGCCGTGTCCACTAGGGTACAGCAGGTCGGGTGTGAGGACAAATACTCGCCGAAGACATGGGCTAGTGGTCGCCCTATGTTGCGAATCGGCAGAAGTTGAAATTCGGGTCGGGTCCCAGTGGTTTAATGGTCTACATACTCGCCTTGTAATCAGAAGGTCCTCTGTTCGAACCCTGGTGGGTGCGTATTGATGAAGAGTCTCAAGTCAGGTTGACAGAACAGCTGTCCAGTAGCCATTCTTTGATCTATTTAATGTAATCTGGAGTCACTGTGTGTTTACTTGGTCTTTCCAACCTTACTACAGTCCTTCACATCTCGGGAAGTTAGTCAGAGTTCGACTGCTCTTTCCAACTGGTGATGACAAGGTTATTACACTGGGACAACATTTGTTCAAGCTTGCATACAGAGTTGAACCATGAAGTACCTTATTTGGTGTCACCACTAACTGCAAATAATCTTATAAAAATAGTGATTATTAAACACTCTGGAGTTTTTAGGCATCTTCAATTCCGGTAAACTGAGGTTTCATAAGTGTAGAGTAGGGGTGGGATTATAAGACCAGTTTTTGATGGCGTTAGTATTAATGCACATGTTGCATTTGCGTTGTAGTGAAATCAATTGAGTAAAATTAGGTGAACATTACTGTCTGTTTTCTTTGGAGGCCTTACTCTGTTGTCTGTCTGTCTGTCTCTTTCTATGTTAATATTGACGAATGAATGGGTTATCAACGTGTAACGTTATTAAATAATTGAAAATTTAATGCTTATATCACTCAGTTATACTGACTAAAATGACAAGTGAAAGTTTTAATTCTAAAAAGAAAATATTTCCCATTTCGTTTTCTTGTTGTTGTTTATTTTTCGTATGTAGTCACATCGAATACAAGAAACACTGCCTGTAGCGTGTCGATCTGAGGAGATAATTGAACGGGAGACACTATGTGTCTATGCAGATTTAGAACAAGTTAAAAAGTATTTAACTCATCCGCGGTTTACTTTTGTCGATTCACCGGAGAAAGCTGATATTTTATGGATGCATGAACATTTCAAAGAATTTGAGTATGTCAACCCTTATAATGTGATAATGATAAGAAATTTTTATATTCTATCTTTCATTTTATTATGTTTTTATTATCATTATTATTGTTCCCTTGGGTTCTGACTGGAGCATAGGGCTTTAACAGCACATCTCCACTTTGTATTGTTTTCTGCCAGTCCCCCTTAGTTGGCCCCACGTTCGCTCACAGTCTCTCATCTCCTTCTCACACGATCCTATCCGTGTCACCCTCGGATGAACGCCCGTCTTGTCATTTCCCACTCGGGTTCCCCTCAAGCGATGGCCTAGCACGCAATATTATTGGACGGTCTCTTCAGTGGCGTGTATCCGATTCATTTCCATTTTCTTCCAAATTATTTGTTGGGCGATAAGTTCTTGGTTGGTTCGTCCTTTGCCAGAGTTTCTTGTTGCTAATTCTTTCTAGCTGGCGATTTGATGGACCCAGCGAAGTGGGCAGCTGTTGATAAGAGTCCACCGTAGCCTGTTGAAAATGCTTGAGGCCAAGTTTCTGACCCATACTGACTGGCCTATTAATAGTGTTGAACGGAATCCGAATTTTGTTCCTTATGCTGCTGGCTGAATGAAACCGAAGATTTCAAAACTGGTTTCAGGTTGATGAAGGCGTGCGTATCTTGCCTTTCCGATTGTGACCAGCTTTGTCATCTTCATGCATTCCGTCTGTGCCTCCTGGCCAGATCAATGACACTATCTTTCTGTATGCAGAGATTAGGTTGAAGTCGTTCTGCGAAACTAAGTAGCCAAGGTTTATGCGACATGCACATTAATTGGCAAATAAGATTGGAGTTAACAAGACCTTTAGTATATAGAAAGACAATGTGATTAATCTTGAATTACACTGGTAACTAACTATATCTCTCCGTTTTTTGTTGAGTCACAATTTTTATTGAGTGTTGGTTTTACTCCTGGGTTTGAACCTTAGTCGGTGCGTATTGGCGATGAGTCCCAAACTAGACTGACGAAACAACTGTCTAGTACTCGAGTACTGGTTTTCAGTGGTAGTTCTGTAACCGATGCCAACTCGTGATCATGCGTATAACATGATCTTTACTCAGTTTTAGTGTGCACTCATTGGGCTGAACTCGTTATTAGGTTTCGAATCCACTTAACTAGTTGTTCACGTGATAAATTTTCTTCTACTGATGATTTCTTCTCACTCCTACCCTCTTCTCTTGAACCTTCCATCATATAGTGTATCCTGTATGTCTGTATTGATTAATTAATTAGTTAATTATTGCATCATCTGATAGCATTGATAAGATTTATGTCTGTCTCTCTGTCTGTTTTCGACGCAGAACTTTGCACATGTGCGGCTGTTCAAGTCGCCACACTCCCTCTTTGTAACACACAAAGCAACAGAAGAAAGTACAAGAAATGAATAATAGAGACAGTAAACAGAGGTGTGAGACAAAGGAAGAGTAATAATGAAGAACAAAACAGTTTCATTGGAGATCATAAGTCACAAGGAGTGGATGCATCGGCGCCAGTCATTGAGAACGATTTTGAGCCATGTCACCAGTTGTTTCCAACCATTGGTTTTTACCGTCCCGACGACCCCAACCATTCAGGAAGTCTACACCTTCCTACGTGGCTTAGACTAACTGTTGTGGATTTCATTGACTGGTGCCCAGTTTTTGTTTGACCGCCGCTAGCTTTTTTCCAGCCTGACCCTATATCCGCTAACAATGTACAGTTTAAATTTAGTTGTTAGGTTATTAGTTTTCTTCTATTTTATGTTTCTTTGTTTCAAACAGCGTCTTTGTACATATTGCAACGATTTCCCTCCTTTTATAAATATATAAATACATTAAGTTTTAAAAATAATAAAATCACAAAAATTGAAAGTAATTGGAACACGATGAATAATAAATAATACATGTAATAATAATAGTTCTTGTAATACTTTGCAGTTGAGTTATTGATTTAAAAATTGTGTAAGTTCTTTGCTGACATCTGACTCTGTCTTCACACAACCACCTGTGCTAAATATGGTATGGTTGGATTGTTTTATATTTTCCTGTACCAGCATAAACTCTTATGAAGTTTCTTCTGGTTTCACTCCCTGAAGAGATACAAGAAGAAAGTTGTGGATCACAAAGGGGATGTTCGATATCAGACAAGATAACCATAGCTAATTGCTTGCATGGATTAAGACGCCTAACAACGAAATGTTAGTTAGTTGAGTGTCAAAGGCGCCCTCCCCCAGTAACCCTGCCTACTTACAGCTTCCACTGTTCTACGTAATATGACATGGTCCTTTTTGAGAAGCCCAGAGAAGAAGAAGTTTGGCGAACGATAAAGACAAATGAGCAGAATACATGAATTGTTAAATTTTAAAAGAAGAGGTTGAATCATGCCAGCAGAAAGTCTCAACTTCTTTATGATATAATAAGTGAAACGAAACATTTTCTTAGAAATCAACAAATTGTGAGACGACCAACAGAGATTCGAAGACAGACTGATATAGAGATAAGAGAGATATTCGTTTTACTCCCTACCATCACTGTTCAGTTTTACACCCTTTGCATGTATGTTAATGTACACCCTTTGCATTTAATTACAATAACTTCTATCGATTTTCAGGCTAAAGCCATAAAAATAAAGAAACGCCTGAGCTTTTTATATCCTTCAAATTTATTCCATCTCGTTTTATTAATTCCATATTAGTTTGATTATTAAATGTATCACACAGTGAAACAGTATTGTATACTGGATGACGTTTCGAACACAATTTATTGTTCATAATCATATCAATTTTTGTCACACGACTTCGAGATTTGATTTTTATAGTTTTCTCTGTCTTCTCCTATTTGTTGTATGGGCAGTAGAATTTTCCATATATCTGGGACAGGTGTTGAATCATTCCTATTACATGTATTTGCAGTTGATTCGATAAACAAAGCTTCTGTTATCAATCTCTCCCTATACCCTGTGACATTAGATTTTAAAACTGTCATCCTATCCCATCCTATTGTATGGTTGTGTGTAACTGCATGTAGTGCTATAGCTGAACTACTCTCTAGATTTCTTATCTTATTCGGGTCAACCAATCTAGATTTAGCTAGGTTTTTATGTTCGGCTAGTCTGACTGCCCCTGTTCTACTAGTTTGACCTATGTATTTGACCTCACAATCATTGCAGGGTATTAGATAAACTAAATTGTTTTGTTTTAATGGCTCTACAGGATCCTTTAACCGACAAAGCTTGTTTCTAATTGAGTTTGTGGGTTTGAATGCCACTTTTATTCCTGCCTTGTTAAGAATTCTGCGTAAGGCTTCCGAGGTTCCTTCTTTGTATGGAATTATTGTTGATGATTTACATTCCTTATTGTTGGTGTCGTTATTAATATTATTATTATTATCACTATTATTATTACCATTATTATTATTATTGTTATCATTATTATTATTATCACTATCTCTGTTATCATTATTTATTTTATTTTTACATTTACTTACATATTTCTTGACTAATTTATCCGGGTAATTATTAAGTTTCAAGGCTTCTTTTATGTGTGTCACTTCCTGTCTTAGATTTTCCTTGGTACTACTTAGTTTTGTGCTCTGTCATTTAAACATTTCACTAATCCTATTTTTACTGACATAGGATGGGATGATCGGAAATCCAAATATCTGTTTGAATGTGTGGGTTTTCTGTAAACACTAGTGTTTAGCTTCCCATCTTCTTTCCTTTTTACGTTGCAATCTAACATTGGAAGTTCCCCTTCCTGACTTTCCAATTCATAAGTGAATTGAATTGCCTCTACCTTCGAGTTGATGTGCTCGAAAAATCTATCTATATCTTGTGTTCTAAGTACAGTGAATGTGTCATCTACATACCTCCACCATACTTTTGGGGTGGGGGTGAACGTTTCAATCGCTATCTTTTCCCACCTATCCATGAATATATCTGCTACCACCGGGGATATTGGTGATCCCATGGCAACTCCCTCAGTTTGTTTGTATATTTTCCCTTGGAATTTAAATACTGTAGAAGTCAGGCAAAGCTGCACTCCCAGCATTATGTCCTCAATTGGCACTTTTGTCCTAAGTTCGAGTTCTTGGTCAGAAATGAGTTCGTTTCTGACCGCCTCTATAGCCATATTTATTGGTATACGTGTATATAAACTGACAATGTCAAAACTAACCATTTTTTCTTCATTATCTAATTTTAAATTATCTAATCTGTGTTTTAGTTCATAAGAATTAGTTAGTCTAGATTTCGAGTGGATTTTTAGGGGATTTAATACCATGGCTAAATATTTAGATAATTCATAGGTAGGTGAATTTCTAAAATCAACTATAGGCCTAATAGGGTATCCTGATTTATGAATTTTAACAACACCATACATCCTACTGGGGTTATTAGTTTTTGGCATTAAATTAAACCACTTAGACACTAGAAACGGCTTCATTCGGCGTATAAGGTCCGCTGTGGATTTCTTAACTTTATTCATAAACTTATTTGGGAAGTACCATCAGCCCCAACGGGCTGATCTCTGACGAAATCTCAGCACGAATACAGGGGCTCGTTTCGCATTGTTAGTTTACGCCGACTCTGGCGTAGACGAGATGTTCGACTATCGACCAAAGGCGGGTGTACTGCTCATCAGTCCGCTCTGTCCTCCTTTATGGACAGCTGTGAGACCTGGCCACTGAGAGGGAAGACATGAAAAAACTAGCTGTCTTTGATCATAGGTGCCTGCGTTCTATTTCCCGTGTAAAGTGGCATAATAAGGTGACCAACATGGAGGTTAGGCGTAGAGTTCTAGGTAAACAGGGAAATCAATCGACGAAGTCGTGAAGCTACAAAGACTGAGATGGTTAGGACATGTGTTACGTATGCCAAGCCATCGCCTCCTCAACGAGCTATGTTAGCGGATATAGAGTCAGGCTGGAAAAGACCTAGTGGCGGTCAAACAAAAACTTGGCATCAGTCAATGAAATCCTCAACAGTTGGTCTAAGCCACGTAGAAAGGTGCAGACTTCCAGGCTGGGGTCCTCGGGACGGTAAAAACCAATGGTTGGAAACAACTGGTGACATGGCTCAAAATCGTTCTCAGTGGCGCAGATGCTTCCACTCCCTGTGACTTATGATCTTCAATGAAACTGTTTTGTATTTCTTTATTACTCCTTTGTCTCACACCTTTGCTCACTGTTTCTATTATGCTTTTCTTGTACTTTCTTCTCTTGCTTCGCGTGCTACACGGAATGTGGCGACTTGAACTTCCGCACATTTGTGCAGAGTTCTATGTCGAAAACAGACAGACAGACAGACTACTGTTGCGTTCCCTTTGTCTGACTTTGTGATTACTATATCCTTGTTATTCTTAAGGTGTTTCAGGGCTTCTATCTCGGGTTTGGTCAGGTTAGGTTTTCCACATTTTTGTCGTTTTAATGTAAGTGCACATTGTGCACTTACTTCTTCAGCTGTTGTTTTGTCTATCCACTTAGTGCTATTTCTATTTTAGGGATGACATCCTCAGGTTTTAGCTTGTCCAGCGCTACATTGAAGTTTAGTCCCTTTTCTAATACACTTATTTCCATCGGACTTAATATATGTGATGAGAGATTGATAACCCACTTTGATTTATCGATAGCCGTTGATTTTGGATTGTTGACTTCATTATTCTGAGATGAAGATTTCTCCTCTAATAATTTGTTGAACTTTTTGATTTGACTATTTTTGACTTTTTGAAAGTGGCTGATTTTGCATTGTTGGAGGATTGTGTTATAAGATCATAATCTACATTGGTAACTATTCCTTTTAGCTTTTGTTCTAATTGCTCAATTTAACATCTGATATGTTGTAATTTTCTAACGATTCTGTGGATCTCTTCTTTCAGGCATAATTTTTGTAGACTTTCTATTCTGCTTCTAACTCTGTCCGTTGGAACTGGAGCTCGTAGACGTAGATATTTAGGAATGATTTAAGCATCGAATGTTAAGAATACGGTGATTTTCATATCTTGCTTCAGTTTGTTCGTTTTATTAACACGGCATAAAAGGTAAATGTTAACTGATGAAAAATTAAGTAGCGCAGTTTATTTTAAACAGGCCGCCTATCGACAAGCTACGCTCGCAATTCAAATATTGTCGTTTCTTTTAATTTATTCACATGATTCTGAAATTATTTCTTGTTGTTGTTGTTATTGTTTTATTTTGTTCCTTCTCTACTATCTTCAGACGTTTATCTATAGATCGCCCAAATACATTTGTTAATCAATTCCCTGGGGAAAGTATTCTCACTGTTAAAGATCTATTGGCAAGTTTAGCAGCAATATTAGCAAAAGATAGCTATGAACTATCTGGTCAATCGAATAACACAAATGATAATAATAATAATATCGATGAAAAACTTTCAACACCATGGTATCCGATTACATTTAATTTAGTCTATGAGCTTCCACAGTTTTGTTCGTATTTTCAATCAAAATGTGTAAGTTAATTTTATATTAGGACAGTTTGTTTTCTTGTGATCTAAAGGATTAATTAAAGATTTATTTTGCCATCTAAAGATGTATGAATGTCTATTGAATCAATAAGTGTAATTTCCAACGTACCTGTTTTGTTATTCTACCTGTATGTGTTCGACCTCTAGGTTACTCTAAACTATACCAGCCCAAAACGGAACTTTACCTAATTAAAACAAATCGCCGACCAATCAGATTCGCCCGGAGTAAAAGTGCGTAATTCGGAAAAAGTAATACAATGTTTTGAAAAATAGTTACGTACAATAACGTTCTTGTATATATTCCACGAAAACCTCCAAATTTCTTATAGGAATCCTCATAGTTAGGTTAAGTCAATTTCTGTACACAAATTCCTCAAGATAACTGTAAATCGTCGTGTTTCTCGATCCATTCATTCACCGCTCTGATCTTTTTTCTGCGGTGTGACTCCAGAATTTTCGATGGAATAATTGTGTCCCATCGAAAGTATTGACGAAATTGTCCGTATGATTGACCATTTTGTGGGTAGTTGGCCGTAGCGCCACTCCATTCGGCTGTATCAGTGGTTGTGCCAGATAGAACTAAACGTTGGTTAGTAGGTAATAAAACATTGGCACTACGATTATGGATTGTCTGGGTATATCCTTCGGACCTGGATATAAATTTATCAATACAACCGGGTGTACTTTTGTAGATGCATTACACCTCCACATCTACACGTTTTCTCACCTTAGATCTAGATGAAATTCGCCACGTAATTCGTGTACAGCATCCATAATTTCGCCTGTATACTACTACGGACCCATCTGATTGATTGCTCAAGATCATTCATTCACACCAGTTAGTTTCTTTTTGGGCTGCAATGGAGTTTAGAGTCATCGTCTTCTATGCTTGGGAGTCGACTTTTAGACAGTCGATCGTATCTTCTTCAAAATGTATTGCATCTATTTCAACGTAGGCAAGGGCCGATAGTGTTTTAGATGCACATAAACCAAATCTTGTTCTTGTTTTAGAATATTTTAGCGCGCATAATTAGTAGTTTTTCATTATTGCACATACAAAAAAATATGGATGCAGAATCGTCGCAGCACTTTTGTGCCATTTTTTTTTGGTTGGGCATTTCACTGTACTTCATACTGCTTGTTGAGTTATCTAAATGGATTGAGTTCTAGTAGAGAACTATCAAGGGGACAGAAGCTTCTCCCTAATTTATAGACTCATAATCAGTCATTATAATTTGTGGTGAACAATTTGTTATTCAGTCATATTGAAATTCAGTGCACGTAACAGTCGTCTGATATTTTCCCCTGGGGTTTCTGGTGGTACTCTACTAATGATGCCATTCTGGATCATGAAAAATTGTGATGAGCTATATCAAAGTTCTATATTTGTGTCTACTATTTTACAACGGCTACAAAGTGTTGTTCTCCTATTTTAAATCTCGGGGTTTATTTCTCTTCACTGTGCCAGTCATTTGATTTTGCTTCTCAAAGTTTAGATCAAAAATATGAAATCAAAACAAGTGATTCAAGAGAAGAGATTTTTTTCAACGAATTTATCATCAAGCTGTACAATCGTGTATAAGTGGTTTTTAAGAAATTGTATCCAGTGAAGGAATTGAATCATATAGGTGTGAATGCATAAAATAATAATAGTACTATGAAATGCAATTAAAATATTTGTGATTATAATCATAGTTCAATGTCAGGTGGCAAAACAAATAATGTCATAAATAGAATAATTCATAGGATGTATACAGGGTGCAAGAACAGTCTACTGCATGGTTACGACAGGTGGAAGCGGAGCTATAAGAAGCGCGACCACTGAACATCTAGGTGATACTGGTCACCCTATGTCTACAGCCTTCTCCTTTGAACTCATCTACAAGCCGAAAACTAATTTTCCTAAATCATACGTATCCGACACCTGTATGCCGGAAGCTTTGACCATCGATATATAAAGGCCAGATTTTTGTATACAGAAGAGGCTTGTTCAACCCCTCCAAACTGTCATGGTCTTAATCTGTCTTTACTTAAGTGTGATAATCCACGTTCATATTTTGGCTCTACTTATTTTTCGTTTTGTTTATTCAATTTGTACACTCCTCCTTTATTACGTCAATTTTACTATTACTATTGTCACTATGATCTGTTTCCGGTGTTATTTCACTCGTCCCGCTTGTCATTCTAAATGAAAAAAAAGTTTTTTTAACGTTAAATTCTGTTTGAAAATTTCACACAATATTACGTAACGTTTTTATTTTTATTCTATTTGCTTAGCAATCCTATAATTACACACTCCTATCCAACATCTATACATCCTACAAATTATTCTATATATTTTCAAAAGAATGGATACTGAACAAAGAGTACTCTTTTCGATAACCCCTTCTCCGTCAGGCTCTACAGTTATATATCCATCGATTATAGTGAATGAATGAATTAGTGTTTTGAACAACACTAACGTTGTTTAAATAACATCGAATCAATAATATTGATAGATTACAACTCAACAGAATCAACATAAAATAATCTGAATGTCATAGAAATTACGAAAGATAATAATACAAATTCATGAATTTCTAGTCTCTACTGAAGACTGGCCAGGGCAGTAGTAGTGGCTGGCTGGACTTGCTTCTTTTGAACACAGAGCACTGGTTGTTTGAGGCGAATTGCAATAGCCTCTGGTGTTTGGAGCATGCGGTTCTTCGATGATTTTGGCAATTTATTAGGCACCCGGCAGATTGTAGAGAAGGATTCTTCCACGCTGGGTGGCTTTGTGGCCGGTTTTCACTAGATGGTCCACTTAACACTTGATATCTAATTATGATCATAATTTTCAAGTATTGGTTTTGTAGGGATTTTGTTTGATTGCATGGAGGATTTCATCATAATCACAAACATTTTAATTACATTTCATACTGCTATTATTATTTTACGCGTTCACACCTATGATTCAATCCCCTCACAGGATATAACTTCTTAAAAACCATATATATATAGGATTACACAGCATGATAATAAATTCGTTGAAAAGAGTTTCTTCTCTGAATCGCTTATTTTTGTTTTCTCTATGTCAAAATGGGAATTTTCCAATAATCAGAAATTAAGTATTTTTGCGATATATACTAATACTAATGATTGATATGTGAATAGCTGAGAGCCACTCACATCAAGCAGTGAGGCTTGCTAGTCAGATTGTCATATGATCTAAACACCGGGTAGTTGTTTAATTTAATGTTTTGGTGTTTACCTTCCCTCCACCTGGTCAACAAGCACTACTACTTACTGGTTGGTGTGGGTAGTTTTCAGCTAATAATACCAATCAGTCAGCCAACCAATTAATCAATCAATAGTATACATCTTTGTGCTATTTCTTTTGCTTTCTAGATTGTCATTTATGGTATCAAACGGATCAATTATTGTGATCCTAAGTATTCTTAATTTATTTTGAGCAATTAAAAGTAGACGTTTGCCTCTCTTTACTGTTTTATCTTAAAAATGATGTTTTGAGATATGTGGACAGAAAACCCGTTGTCAACCGTTTTGTTTGAGCACTATTTATAGTTTTCAGAAGTGACAGTATCTACTGATCATATTATTATTCTTTCTTTGGGTTCCAAATGGAATATATGGCTTCAGAAGCACATATCCATTTCATTCTGTACTCGGTGACACCTTCCAGCTGGATATATGGTTGCACACAAGCTGTCGTTTCCCCCTCCACATGATCTCTTCCATGTCACTCTTTGACGCCTAACTCCTCATTTCCCATTTGTGCTCCAATGGAGGGCCTGGCACATGGTGTCACTCGACAGTGTGTTTTCAGTGTGCGTCCACTCCACGTACAATTTCTTTGGCCTATATGTTGGTCGATAGGTTCTTGGTTGGTTCGTTGATAGAGTTGCTTCTTACTTACAGTTTCCAGCCATTTGATCTTAAGTGTCAAGCTAAGGCAGTTGCTTACGAAATTCTACACCAGTCCGTTGGAACTGTTTTGGTAGTAGCACTCACACTGATTTGACAGTGATGTTGAACATACGGATCCTGCTCCTTGGGCTAAGTGCAGTTGGTTTCCACACTGATTTCAGAGTAACTGGCGGCTGTCTTGCCTTTCCAATCCCGGTTGGCTTTAACATTCTCAAAGCCCCATATATATTATTGTTTCCTTGGGTCCCGATTGGGCTTCAGTAACACATCTCCACTTTTTCATATTTGCTGTCGTCCTCTTTAGCTGGTCTCACAATTCCCCGTATTCTCTAATCTCCACCACGCACGATCTCCTCCATGTCACCGTCGGGCACACGCCCAACTCGTCATTTCCCATCCGGGTTTTAACTAAGGACCCGGCGGGCGATTTCATTCGACAATCTCCTCAGAGTGTGCCCAATCCATCTCCATTTTTTGTACATATTTCTTGAACGACAGGTTCTTGGTTGGTGTGTTTGTTGCTAGAGTTTCTTGTTTCTATTTCTTTCTGGCTAGCCATTTTATCTTCAATATGGAGGCAACTGACGATAGAGGTCTGTAACAGGCTGTTGGAAATCCTTTTTGTGACACGCACTGCAAGTTTATGATGACTTGTGTGGGAGAAGTGACTGGCGGACCGGCGTCACTGTGCGTCGGTGGCACATTGGTTAGGACTCTCGCCGACCATGCACATGGTCTGAGGTTCGATCCCCTACCGACGCACAGCTGATATCTATGGTTGGCCTGCAAAATTTGGGCTACCGATATCCATGCTGAAAATTCCATACTTGTACCAAAAATACGGTGTGGAATCAAGCTGTAATCAAAAAAATAAAAAAAAATAAAAATTTGTGTTGAACATTCGAATCTTTTTGTCTATGGTAAGTCAGTGCAAAAGATTTCCAAATTGATTTCAGATTGACTAAGGTGTGGTTTGTCTTTCCGATCCTTGCTGATTTTGACAACCTCATCCGTGCTGTCGAGTGTAATTGAAATGATGCCTCCTAGATAAGTGAATGAAGTGACCTTTTTCAAATTTCTCCCATTGACAACGATTTGTGTTTGTTATTGTTAGTTGGTTATTTCCATCACCTCCATCCTTTCTATGTTAACTTGAAGTCCTGTCTTTGCTGCATGCTTCTTCTACTAACTGGTAGGTTTCCATCTGTAGGTTTTTGAGTTTGTGTGACACTAAACATAAATCATCCACGCTCGAAATCCAGACCTTCTAGAGTCTTCTTATCAGTCCAACGTATTCTAGTCTTCGCATTCCCCACAGTCTGATGCATAATCCGGTCCACCCTAACCAGGAATATCATCATCAGTGATGATAGGCAAACTTTGGCTCCTGATACTTTTATTAATTATACTGGAAATGGATGCATGACCAGTAAGAGAGGGGAATGATGCTCAGGAAGGCTTCGTGTGCTTTTGGAAGTGTGTAGGCGGTTGTTACTTCCCGGCTGCCCACACCGTGGAAGTTGATTAATTCTTCGGGTTAGTGTTGTGTGACTACAGAGTCCAGGAGACAACTGCTTGAGGCCGATCACACATGGCCTGTATGAACTGGTTTCTGGGATCGGTTCCGTATTAATAAACTTATCGCCGGTTACGAAACACCGTAGGGTAAGTCGGGATGTACACTTTTTGGGGTCGACCTTTTCTAACCCCCTCTCTTCAGAGTGGAAAGACAGCATAGCTGGCATGCTGGTCATCTGAGAGAAACACCTCACTGTTGTTACACCCCTTTTCCCCGGCAGTACGACTTCTCCCTAAGACCTCCAGCATAGTGTAAGAAAGATTCTTACACAATGCCAGTAACTGCTTTTAGTCTGATGGCTATCCTAACAACCTTCCTCGCATGGTAGGACCTGTAGGAACATATGTTCCAACCAGTGTATCTTGTTGGGTCATCGCGACGTGCATGCATGACCAACTTACTTTATTATCGATACTTTAATGTTCAGTAAGCAAAACTTCAAATAACACAATAATTTAGTCTTGAAATGTTTGGAAGACGGGAGGTGGTGGTAGCGGTACATTTCTAATTCAGTAAAAACAATACAGTCAAAAACAAGTGAGTATGTGAATAGCTTTCTAATATTGGGTTTTTTTTACTTCATACATATTCCTGTTACAATCTACTCACTTACAGAATGAAATCGGTAATAACAAAGATGAAGAGACGACAAGTACGGAAAAAAATTTATGGATATTGAAACCATGGAATCTTGGCCGAGGCTTAGGCATAATTATTACAGATAATCTTGATAGAATTATTAAGACATGTGATACTAACCCAATGGTAAGCTGAAACTATTTTGATTTCTGTTTGACGAAGATAAATCATTGAAGTTTATTATGACCTCAATATTTTCTAATCAAACAGTGGTTTTCTTTTGTGGAAATCATTGATTGATTTTATTGAATTAAGATGCTAGGTCTCCGTTGACTTATCGATCGGATGACGAGCCCCATGTAGGACGAAACCCGCATTCTAGATTCCATTCAACTAGCTACCATCAGTCACGAGATTACACTATGATTTTCTGAGGTTTTCATTCTTCATCAAAACAAGACGCTTCAGGTAGATAGATATAGATGCCACCGGACTGAACTGCATCGACATCGTGTTGACCACTTCACTTATTTGGGAAGTTGTATGAGCCCCATCAGAGGGTTAATCGTTAACGAAATCTCAGTATGGATACAGAAGGCTAGTTTGGTATTTGCCAGCTTATGCCGTCTCTGGCGTATTAGACACAATATCCGACCGTAGATCAAAGGACATTTGTACTGCTCAGCAGTCCGCTCCGTCCTCCTTTACGACTGTGAGTGAGACATGACCACTGAAAGTGGAAGATACGAAAAGGCTCGCTGTCTTTGATCATAGATGTCTGCGTTCAACCTTCCATGTTAGATGGCATAACAGAGTGAGAGACGGTTAGGACATGTGTTACGCATGCTCAACCATCGATCAACTTCCCTCGACGGGCAACGGTAGCTGACATAATATGGATCAGGTTGTAAAAGAGTTACGGTGGTAGTTAAACCAAAACATGGTTCCATCAGTCATTGAAATCCATAATAGTTTGTTTAAACCAGCCAGACATGTAGGAAGGTATAGAGTTCCTGGGTCTCAAAAGTTTTAATTCAATTAGTCACTACTAGGTGAATAAAGATCCTGTTGCACACATCACAATTCTAGTGGGAAGTCATGAACAGGGGGCGCTGTACGTACAAATACTCGTCAGTGATGACAATGGCTAGCGGTCACTCTATATTGTGAATTAGCAGAAGTTGGAATTCATGGGCTGATCGTTGGATCAGGTGCCAGTAGTCTATGACCTCGCTTTGTAACCGGAAGGTCCTAGGTTTTAACCCTAGCTGACGAAACAACTGGCAGTCCAGTACTTGAGTGCTGGTTTTCAATTGATTCTCTAACTGACGTCTGCTGATGACGAAATCCTGTAACCAATCAAGTCCCTGCAAATCAACTCCTGAATGACACAGTCTTTTGTCAATCAACTTGCTATACAAATTGTATCAGTTACTGAATCACACTTATCAGTCAATCAGTAAACTTGATTAGCCTGATACTGCTATAATAATAATGATTATTTTAATTTTTTATCCTACATAGATTGCTAGTCGATATATCACTGATCCTGTTCTATTTTATCGTGATGATTTACAAGCTAATGTGAAATTTGATATTCGTTATATAGTGCTGTTGCATTCTGTTAAACCATTAACTCTATTCGCCTACAAAGTATTTTGGCTTCGATTTGCAAACAAGTAAGTAGCATATATTTATGATGACTGATTTTGTGTGTTATTATTATACTATAAAATTCAGTTTTTAAAATTAACAGAAGGTTTTGTTCCATAATTTCATCATGAGCTGACATTAGTTAGAGAACCATGGAAAACCTGGGAGTACTGAACAACTGTTTCCTCCTTGTTTGGGACTCTTCAGCAGTACGCACCCACGGGGATTCGAACCCAGGACCTCCTGGTTACAAGGCGAGCTCGTAGACCATTAAGCCACTGGGACCCGGATCCAATGATTCTTGAATTCTAACCTCTGCCGATTCACGACATAGCGCGACCTCTAGCCAATGTCTTCGGTGAGTATTTGTCCTCACACCCGACCTGCTGCACCCTACTGGTTACGACTTCCCACTGGAACCCAGGTAACTAACTACCTGAATAGGGCCTGTCGCCAGTGAGTATCTCATTGATATTCAAGTATTGGTTTGTGGGGATTTGGTTGGTTGGTTCTATGATTTCATCATGAGCTGACATTAGTTCGCTTGACATTAGCTCGCCTTGTGACCAGAAGGTCCTGGGTTCGAACCCCAGTGGGTGCGTACTGCTGAAGAGTCCCGAACTAGGATGAAACAGCTGTCCAGAAATCCCAGTGGTTCTCTAACTAATGTCAGCTCATGATGAAATCATGGAACCAATCAACCAATTCCCTACAAACCAATACTTGAATAACAGAAGGTTTGATTGTTTCTGATGATGATTGACGTACATTATAACATACTGTTTTCGCTAATGGATGCCTTCAATCATACTCATCATAGGATTATTGTTTTAATTCCTACAATAATTTGTTTGTGAGAATTTGATTTGAGTTTTATGTTTGATCACGGATTGTTTTATCAGGTAGAGAAACACTATTGAGAACCAGCACTGGAGTACTGGACAGATGTTTTGTTAGCCTGGCCTGGGACTCATCGCCAGGGTTCAAACTTAGGGCCTTCCGGTTACGAGGGGAGCTCGTACACCATCCAGCCACTGAAATTCAATTCAATGGCCAGCCTATGAAGTCTAATTTTAACCAGTTCGTGATTTCAGAGTGACTGGCACCAGCAAGCAACTTTATCTGCCTTTAGCCAGCCAGTCACTATCAAGCATGAGATTAAAAAATTCGTATTTCGCTTCAGAAACGGGCACTGCTTAATCCCATATTCGTGTGATGACACTGAGTTAAAGTGAAATACTCGAAGCACAAGAAAGTGATTAGTGTTGCTTGACCATAGAGCCGGAGAGGCAAGTGTTTGAAGCCGGGTGGGTTTTCGAGTTGTATCTGTATGTTCTGACCGCCGACTGGTGACTGCCGCAGCATAATGATAATAATGATTTAGATGTGTTGAAAGTATTTATGTAATTAAGCAAATAAGAGTCGGCCAACAGATCTCTTTCTTCCGTAACTCCACTTCAAAGCTGTACGGCTATTTAAGGTGTTTATACCTACACTATAAATTTACAGCAGAGGTCATAGTGGAAGAGTAGTAACTATTATCTAATTCAGTCTTTAGATTTTTCCGTCGACCAACAGGACCGAAGTGTTGAGTCTCAGGATGACTTGTTGGCCTGTGCAGATGGTATAAAACCTGTGCTTTCATCACTGGATAACCATAGGCACGTATCAATGAATAATAATAATAATAATCACATGATCCTTAATCTATGTTGGAGTCAAGTGTTCTGGTTTACAGGTCACATGAGATACAGTGACTCATTATGTATATTGTTATCAAATTTATATGTTTATAATTGTAATGGTTCTACAACAATAACTCCAGTTTATATGTTAATATGTAGTAAACTACACACTAGTGTGTACAGAAAACCAACTCATTCTAATAGATACGTAGACTTTAATTTATCTCGTCCGTTAATTGTTAAGGCAGGCTTAGTGAAGTGTTTAACAAACCGAGCAGTAGCACTAAGTAGCACAAGAAAAGACCTAAATGATGAAATAAACAGATAGAAGAGGCTTTGGTGTTAAATAACTATCCTATAAAATTCATTAGGAAGATCAAAAAAGGCCAGACGAAAAATAAAAATAATTGTGAAACTATTAATAATAACATAAATAAGAGAGAATATAAGTCATCTACAGTTATACCAAATAAAGAGGGGACATCTGAGACCCTACGTAGGATTCTAAATAAAGTAGGAATTAGGGTGGCATTTAAACCTACAAACTCACTCAGAGACAAGCTCTGTAGGCTAAAAGATCCGGTTGACCCAATTAGACAAAATAGCATAATTTACAAAATACCCTGCAATGATTGTGAGGTCAACTACATAGGTCAAACTAGTAAGTCAGGGATAGTCAGATTATCAGAACATAAGAATTTAGCTAAGGTAAGAATGGTTGACCCTGAAAAAATAAGTAATTTAGAAAAAAGCTCAGCTATTGCACTTCACGCATTAACAAACAACCATACAATAGGATGGGATAGGGTTAAAATTCTAAAAAGTAATATAGGTAGGTGGGAGAGAGAGGTTGATTACGGAATCCTTATTTATCGAGTCCACACCCAACACATGCAACAGAGATGACTCAATGCAAATACCAGAAATATGGAAGATATTATTACCGCCAGTCAGTCAAATCAGAAGAATATATTAAATAATCTTAAAATTCTATTTCAATTCAAACACATCAAAACATTCTAACAAGTTACTTATTATGACTATAAAACAACACTCGTATAAAACATTCGTATTTCCCATATAATTATAATGGGTCAATAACACTCATACTATTATTCCTGTATGGACATTATCTCACATTGATTTTTAATCCAATATCTAATCGACTCCACACATGTATATAAATGAAAGAAAAACGTTGTGTGAGTGAGTGACTTGATATGATTATGAGTGTCAATAGTTTGTGCTCGAAACGTCATCAGTTAATATAACTGTACAACACTGTGTGAATTATCAAAATAAAATCTCATCGATAATGTAGTTAATATATGGTACTTTGATGAATTAGTATTCACTTAATAATGAAAGACTTTAATTGATTATTGTTGACATTGATACGTATTTATTGTCACAATATTCATGTATTTTGTATGTATTCAACCCTAAAAGAAGATTGCATAAATGATAATACTTGTAGAGGAGTATTCAGCTGATGAGGCCTTCTACCGAAATTGATGAATTCATTCAATACAGATGCTTTTTTCCGCGCAGTTTTTGCTTGTTTTCTAAATTCACTACGGGAAAAGAAATGTTTTCAGTTTCACATTTCATTCGTTTTTTCCTGTTTCTTTTACAGACCGTTTATTTTACAGGATTTCGATGCCTACGACAGACATTTCACAGTGATGAATTATCGTGCTGCTGACAATTTGAAACAAGTAAGTTTTGCTAGTTTTCCCCTAATATATAGGAGAGTATTTTGCTTCACAGAATCGTGAGGAGGACTGTTTTGGTATTGATTCAGTGCATTGTATTTTCTTCTAATTTCCTATATGCCTGTGAGCGAGACATAGCCATTCGAGAGTGGAAGACATGAAAAGGTTGGCTAGTTGTCTTGGTCATGGGTGTCTGCCTTCTATCTCCCGTGTGAAGGGGTATAATAAGGTGAGCAATATTGAGGTTAGGCGTCGAATGCCAGCTAGGTACGGAGAAGAAATCAGTCGACGAAGCTGTGTAGTTACATCGATTGAGTGAGATGGTTAGGACATGTGTTACGTGCGTCTTCGTCGACAGGTGATGTTAGCTGACTGACAAGATGGATCAGGTTAAAAAAGAGCTAGCGGTGGTCGGACCAAAACATGGCTTCATCAGTCAATGAAATCCACAACAGTTAGTTTAAGCCAACCACGTAGGGACGTGTAGACTTCGTGACTAGTTGGTGTCCTCTGGTTTGTAAGAATCAATGACGACTGGAGACAATTGGCGGTATGGCTTCGAATCGTTCTTGATGATGGTGCAGATGCATACATCCTCTGTGATTTATATTATCCATTAAAATTCTATTGTTCTTCAATATTACCATTCTTTTTGTCGCATATTTCAGTTTCTTATCTCTGCTGTAAATCTATCTTTACTCTCTCCTCTTGCTTTGTGTGCTACATGGAGGGTGTGCGGCAACTGGAGGTGCTGCACATCTGTGCAAAGTTTTTCGTTGAAAGCAGTCAGCCAGATAGTTATTCTAATCTTCATCTCGTTATACAAGTAATACACTACTAGTCGGAGTTTTATTTTCCTTCATGTGTCTTTAGCTGGCTCCACCATTGCCCAAAAGCTCTCATATCCGATGAGGATAAGTAATGGCCTACATTGAGCACTTTGTCATTCGATGGTCACCTTCGTAGTGTGTGTGTGTCCATTCCATCTCATGATTTCTCTTTGCATATGTATGGTTACAGTTTTAGTGATTAGACATTCATAATTTTTCCTATGCAGCCACTAACTCGTTGAGATTTTTCTCTTTTTTTTGTTGTTGTTGAAATTTTAGATCCATTGTGATGAATTTATTGAACTATTCAATAAACAATATCCAGACTATCAGTGGTCAAATGTCGAGGTATTTCCCACCCCCACACCCCAGTTCCTTGAAAGTTTTAACACTTTTTATTCTCCTGTTTCATTCGTATTGTGATAAAAAAAATGTGCTCCCTTTTTCATGAATTTGTGTAATCTGCAAGAACCACCTTGTCTTGATAGCAGAAATGCGTTGGTCTATCAAAATAATCTGTCGAACAGTGCCTAGTAAAACAGTGGTTGTTCTTCTAGGTAGTTCTACTGTTTTTATAGTACTTTCAGACTTTCTGAGATAAATTAGATCTCATAGGGTTGATGTTGTTTGTCTGTCTGTCTAAACTGACGGCAAACACTCCACATTTACGCTATTTGATTAAGAAACTTAAGCATTACACGAATTGTACATTGAAATTATACTGCCGGAAGCATTGTATTGTGATAATATATATATATAGCTTTTTGTACACATAGTTTAGTCCGTATGTGATTAATCCGAAGTGCTTCCATCACCTTTAATAACCTTGAATTAGTGTTATGTGATGAAATAATTGTGAAACAGTCATTAATTAATATTGACTTTGTGACCTGACATTAATAAATGCTTTGCAATAGATAGTGATGGATTTCTACTCAGATTAATTGCATTGAGATTTTCTATGTGTTTTAATAACCGTTTTGGAACATGTTCTTTTTAACGACAATGGGACATCCTATTGGTTCTACCTATATAATTGTCATCACAACTGCAGGTGAACTTGTAGATACAATTTGATGAAGTAGAGTCCGCAGAATTTCGTCCTTTAATCGTAGGTACAGGGACCAAAAATGTCCGAGATGTAAGGGAAAGATATGGTGCGTAGAATGTGCGCTTGATGGCTGAATCTGATTGTGAACCATGTTAGTTGTAAAGATGTTTGCAGGCAATCGACAGGAAGTCTTTCACCTAACACTGAAGTCAGAATTCAATCTCCACACCCAGATAGAACTAGACACATTACACTAGAGACTAACTAGCGTAGTGTCCTACAGGAGGTTAATCGCGAGTCCAAATAGCTCAGTGGAAACGTCTCTAACTGCAGCACTGGGTGACGCGGATTCGAATCTCAGAAGCTACATGATTAACTTGAAGATTACAAATCCACCTTACTGACTGTTGAGTGCCCACAAGCACGAAATCGAAGTCAAGCAAGGCTTCCTGTTGATTCCCTCCAATCATCTAATAATAACAATCTAGAGTACATTGTGATGTCGAGGCATCTGGTGTCATGCTAGTCACATCGCACATTTGACTGATAGAATTCTGTCTGCACCAAACGAGGGATTAGACAGAATTACACTAGTTACTAACTAGTGTCCATTCAAAAAATATGATGATTCCTTGATGAACGCTATTATTACTCATCCAGGATGCAGATACATCTGACCAACAAGTCCCAATCAGAATGTAGAATGCATCTTGGAGCTAAGTGCTTAGAAAATCGGCAGTATTAAAATGCTTATTTATATTTTCCTATTTCCTACCCAGTTATCGTGTGCGTCGGTGGCACAGTGGTTAGGATTCTCGCCGACCATGCACATGGTCTGAGGTTCGATCCCCTGACGACCCACCCCTGATATCTATGGTCAGCCTGCAAAATTTGGGCTACCTATATCACATGCTAAAAATTCCATACTTGTACTAGAAATACAGTGTGGAATCAAGCTGTAATCAAAAAATAAACACTTGACTCTTTTGCCTTTCTTGTGTTCCTTGTTGAACACATGGCTTCAGGCTCTTGAAGTAATGATGGTGCTATTATTACGGGATAAGGATGCTAGACTGAAGCCGTTTTCCTTCTTGCACAGGTTAACTACCAGCCAGTAAACGAAGAGAGCGGAATGAGTTTTTTATAGCTGGGAATTAAACCTTGAAGCTCTCGTGTGTATTCTACTGTAGAGAAGAAAAGACGTTCTTCGCACAATTCTCTTCTTCGATTGCTTTTTCCACTGCCTCAAAAGATATTGTTACTTTTCCTAATACGTCTACTGATATACTACTTGTATCTAGTCATAAGTAGCACTCATCACACTATCACTGTGAACTAACTTGAATTGACAATAATAATTTTTTGACATGAAAGATTATAAAATAATTTGTTGAAATTATTCTTTTCAAATTCAGCGAAAAATACATCAACTTCTTGTGGAAATCTTTCAAGGCGCTACAAAATATCCTGCTCCACGTGGTTTAACGCATAATTGTCAGTCACGTGCATTGTATGCCGTTGATTTACTTTTAGAATGGCGTCCACTAACGTCATCAACACTTCCAAGTACTTCATTAACATCAGAAAGAAAGAAAGATATCTTTCCTGTCGTATGTGAAGTCAATTTTTCACCAGATTGTGAAAGAGCTTGTCGTTATCATCCAGACTTTTTCAATGATGTATTCTCATGCCTGTTTCTTAATCAATCACCTGAATTATGTAATATCAACAAATTAACATAATTTTGATGTGACCTTTGAAGTAACTATTTGTGTGCCAGTTAATTGGTTTATTGTAATGTTTTTCCTGTATCTGTAGCTCTGAAACTTGATTTATTTAGTTGTGTGAATAGATTGGCCTTTTTACAATCAGTGGTTGATTTTCGCGTTAGTCAACATAAGCTTCATTTATAGATACTAACACAGTCGTTTGTTGTCCCTCCAGTCGAGATTCGGTCTTAGGTACACCTTCTTTCAGAGGACTACACTTCTTGAAACAGGCCGGGTGTGAGGCCAGATAATCGCCAGCGATGACATGGCTAGCGCCGATCGCGCGTTTATCGTGCATGTATTGACAGAATTTGGAATTCATGTGCTAGCCATTGAGCAGTTGGGTACTAATGGTTTAATGGTCTACGATCTAGCTTGACTTGTAACCTAAAGTTCCTGGGTTCGAATCATGGCAGCGGGTTAGGTGCGTACTGTTGAAGGTACTCCAGATAGCTGTCCAGTACTCCCGGATTTTCCAGTGGTTCTCTAACTGATATCAGCTCGTGATGAAATCCTCCATCCAATCTAAATCCCTACGAAACCAATACTAAAAATTCCAAAGAACGCTTGATTGATGCCTGTCGATCATCACCTGCTTAGGTCTGTTCTGTGTGTATATGTACAGAAAAGCTTAACATTAGTGAGAGTCATCCGGTAAAGGAAGGAAGTTGACACCCTAATATAATATATGCTCGGTAAATTGGATAATCAACTTACTTACTGGACCAGTAAATTGTACGATTTCATCCACATACCCGATAGTATTCTACCCGGTTAGCTAATGATGTTGACATCTTCACATGATGAGTGATTCGTAATCTGCAATCACAAAGTAGCTCCCTGTCGATTGGATCATAAACATCAATTATTACTTCTAATGTCTCTCAACTTGTGTTTAACCTGTTTTATAAAGTCGAAATGTTCAACTTCCTATCAATCAGGAAAAATGTATGACTGAAATATGGAAAATAGAAGCAGATGTGGAAAGATTCCATGCTAGGTGTGTTCGTCTTATTATTTATCTAATTCATTTACACTCCGAGTGGAACATACGGCTTCAATCTATAGCTTTTAAGTTTTTCGATAGCAGCAGTTTTATTTTTATGGGGTTGGGTTGCTAGTGCGACGCTCAACCTTCCTTCTCTACTGGCTTTGCTGCCAGTTTAGCGAGGTTTAGTCGTGCGTCATAGGGGGATCAATCCCCGAACCACGTGTGGCATGGTTGGTGACCTTTCTACTGCTGAGCCACCAAAGCACAAATGTGATTGTGTTGTGTTGCGCAAATCAAAAAATGACTAATCTTGTGGTCGAACTTTAGACGAATAGCTAGAATCGTTCGGATGTGAATATGAATGTCTACCACAACTTTACGTTTCTTGCATACCAATTCTACAGTATTCCACTAAGTGCTAAATTCAAAAGGAAGAAAGCTGTTAGTAATCAAGGGAAATGATATAGCCTATGGGTTATACAGTCCTCCTTAGTGTGTGTTCATAGATTTAGTAGCTGATGGCGATATATGATACTGGTTGAAATCAGCGGCTAGAGAGAGAGAGAGAGAGTCGATTTCGGCATATTTTCTCTCTCCTTCCTTTCAATCCACTGCTATGATAAGCGGTGAGGGTATGCAGACGTGCTGTTCCCACTGCATCGATTTCCTCACCTTATTTACTCAGTGTGTTGTTTGCTGAGAATTTATTTCTTCAAACCAGAACCCTAGTATGAGTTCAAACTATGCACCAATAATCTTTTAACGATATTATTAATAATCCTTCTTTATTGCTTATCTACCACATTCATATTTTATGGCCGTAACAATTGAACTTTGTACCCTTGTATTTTTGTATTCGTACACATGTTTGCCTTACACCAAATCAAATACCCATCCAACAATCAATCCTACGGATGTAGGACTCACCACTTTTCTTTCTGTCGCGATTAGTTTGTCATTGACCTGCTACATTTCGAAACTATTATTGATGCCATATTCACGTTGAGTGAATCAAGCATTTCAATATGTTTCATTGAAGATAAGTGGTAAATTGTCACTTTGATGTTTTTGACTCACCATTCCTGACACGCATTCTCTGTCTGGATTCAACATAGAACTTGGCACCGAAGCGCACCAGTTCGAGTTGCCACGCTCCAAATATCACACAGAGGTAGACAAGAAGATGAGTGGAGAGAATAAATAGAGTTTGACAAGTATAAGAGTGAAACAGAATGGGTAATGGTAGAAAGGAATACGAAAGATTACAGAGACTGAATACATCTGCGCTGTCATTGACAACGATTTTGAGCCATGTCACCTATTGTCTCCAGCCATTGATTCCTAGAGTCCCGAGGGCCCCAACCCGGAAGTCCGCATCTTCCTACCTGACTCAGTTTGACTGTCAAGGATTTCATGGATTGATGCCATGTTTTTGTTTGGCCACCACTGGCTCTTTTCCAACCTGCACCTATATCAGCTAGTAATGCCCGTCGTCGGGGGAGGCGATGGTTAGGCATGCGTGACATGCGCAGCACGTGACCTAGCCATCTCAATCTATGTAACTTTATAGCCTCGTCGATTGATTTTCCTTCTTTGCCCAACACTCTACGCCTAACGTCAACATTACTTACCTTATTAAACCGCCTAACGTGAGAAAGAGATCGTAGACATCTATGATCAAAAACAGTCAACCTTTTCATGTCTTCAACTCGTATTGGCCATGTTTCAGAACCATAGAGAAGGACGGAGCGAACTGCTGATCAGTACACATGTCCCTTGGTTGATAGCTGGATGTCACGCCTACGCCAGAGATGGTGTAAGTCAGCGAAAGCAGCTCGAGCTTTTTGGATCCGTGCTGAGATTTCGTCGCCACGCATTCTCTAGTCTAGTAGCAGCAGCTGCGTGATTCCTGTAAACTAGTTTCCTAAGTTTATTCAGGTATTATGTGGTAAGAGCCTTTCTAATCTACGTTGATATCTAATCCAACACAGCCAACATTATTTTGAGGATAATATTATAATTTCGCTTTCTTGTTGGCAGCTAATTAAACGTTAGAATAATTTGCTTGATATTCAAGAGTTAGTTTTCAGTTTGATTACGAATTGATAACAATTACAGGACTACTGAAAACCAACACTAAAGTACCCGACAGCCAGCTGTTTCATCAGCTTAGTTTGGGACTTATCGCCATTACACACCCACCCCACTAGCAGGGTTCGGACCCAGGACCTTCCGGTCACAAGTCAAGCTAGCTTGTAGGCCACTGGTTTCGAACTCAATGGCTCTAAAATTGATTTCAAGAGAAATTGCACCACGAACCGCCGAGGTCAATTGGTCAGCCGTAGAACACTGGAGAGTAGTCCTTTTCTAATATCAGTTGTTGACGAAATGTATAATTGTATAATTCCTCGCAAAAAACACTGGAAGTTATCGGGTAGAAATATATATATATATATATGTCACCGTTAACCTGAAGATTCACATGGTATTTATATGTATCCCTCCCTCCCGAAACCACAATAGTTTTATTTTGAGTGATAAGACTAGTTCAGTTCAGTCAGCTAGTTGACTGTCATCACAATAATAAAACAAGCAAAGAATCGAACTCACCCGCCCCTCACCTACCAAAACATTCCATGGAAACAATCAATATAATTAAATAGCATAGCATATATCAATTATGATCTCAGTTACACATTAGAAGTTCATTATTATATAAAAGAAGAAAAAATGATTGAATATTATTCAGTATGTGTTGTACAAGAGAAACAATAAAGAAAGCTATTGAAATTGAATGTGATGTTTAGAAAACAAGCAAAGAATAATTTATGGTCAGTTGGTGGCGAATGAAAGAAGGAAATCATATATGCGTCTCTGTGTGTGTGAGTGTATTTGACACACACAGGGATTAAACACCCATCATACCCACCTCGAACACAAGGGTGTTCTAATCCTTTGTTTCCCTGCCACCAAACCATCCATCCCATCATCTGTTGTTTATGACTAGTCACAGTAGTGATATATGTAGGTAAGTGGACAGAAAAAAGATGTACTTTCCTGTAGGAATGAATGGTGAATAGATCAAAGTTACATACAACAAATGTGTGACACAGATAAATAGACAATCTACGAAAGACAAACTAGTATGAATTTAGATTATATAAATGGATAATGAATAATAATCATAATCATAAGTAAAATTAGTAACAATTTTTTGCCTAGCGATGAATCTTAACAGTTTTCTCGGCCTATTCATCATCATTATCCTGGTCCTCCTCCTCCTCGCCAGCCACCCCGTTGTTCCACCATCAGTTTCCACATGCCTTCCTTATCAGTATGCTAGGTTTAATAGCCGTAAAGATCAACGGTTGCATAATTCGTGATTGAAAAAAGAACAAATCAAAGAAGAGAAGAAATGCAATTACACAATAAGCTCAGATAGATTTACTAATCATCTTCTTAGGTAGTATTCCGGTGTGTGTGTGTGTGTGGAAGCGTACACATGAAGTACACTGAAACTGATTTTGTATATTATTATTATTATGATGATGATGTATAATGGACGAAAATCAATCAAATCAGAGGATGAATAGAGGTTGAAAAAAGTAAAAAAAAAACAAAATAAACACTGATTAGTCCTAATCATCATCGTCAGAAGAAGAATACTTTGTATGAGATCGATCACTGGGAATGATGAACAACAACAACAGAAGTAACGAAGAAGATCCTTTCACAGTACGTGCCCTCTAGCGCCAATTGATAAAGAGAAAGAGCCATAACTGTTCAACATCACCATAAAGGATCATTATTGAAGTTGAACAGATGCGAATAACTTTTCACTCGAAGATGTAATATCATTACCGTTTGAAAGAACGGTGGTGGAAGAGGAGATATCAGCAGATGAAGTAGCATTCTGTTGGGGGTGTTGTTGTTCATAGCGTATATAATTTAAAGTATTTTTAAAATGTATTGTTATATGATCAGTGATTGGCGACGGTTCTAAATCTTTCAGCAGACTTCGGATCTCCCCTAATATATCATTGATACGCTGATCAGTTATCTGTAAAATAAGGAAAAGGAAACAAGCATAAATAAACAAATCAATGAATGAATGAAAACACGCATAGAAGTAGTAAAACTATCCAAACAGTTTCGAGGAGAAAGTTACCTGTGTGTATGTATCAATTTGCCACTCAAAGGAGATGCTGTACAAGAGATGGTCAAATGAAGACTCGATAAATCAATTAATAGAACTTCTTATACTGCAAAACTTGTCTCTCTTAACACCACCAAACAATCGAGTGATTCAACAATCTGGGAAAGATCACAAGGTCAAGCCTCGACCCTTCAAACTGCGTACATCAATTTGAATATTTGTAGAAGCAAATACATGGGTGTCAGCGAAGGGCGATTGTCTACTCACATGACGGAGCATCTGCCAAGGTGGTTGAAAACAGCTGAAGTCGATGTCTCAAAAAGTTGAATAACAAAGCATTCCGTAGACTATAGACATGATATTGACGCTGCCAAGTCAGTCACTGTTAACCGCAAACCAAATAAAAACAGGAAAATGGTTGCAATTGCAGAGGCTTGTGCAATCAGTCTTTATAAACCAGGTGTCTGTGTACCAAAAGGAAATGGTTAGGGTTATGTTTAACTTATTAACTGTTATTACTATTATTATGAGGAACCAATGACTCGGAACTATTTGTCATATGGCTCATTAGCAGAGACGCATTCACTTTTTGTGATCCTTCATATCTGCTAAATCGTCATATTTTTTTCTCCGTGTTACTATTGTTACTCCCTCAAATTTTTGTTCATTAATTAGCTCTTTTGAGTCATTTTCGCCTACCTTTGTGTGCTACATGAAGTGCTGAACGTCTGTGCTGAGTTTCTTATGTTCTATTTATTTATTTATGTATTTCGAAAACCACAGTTTTCTTGACCAACTACAAAGTGTGAAACAAAACAAAAACAACAACGCCAAGAACAGTGACAAATCTTCATGCGATGGACTCACCTCATGACAACCAGATATACGCAGGTTAACCGATAAATTCAGTATATCTATAAATAATTGTGTACGAACCGCTGTGTCCATACATTCTCTAGCAAATCTAGCTGCACGATCTAAGCATGAGACAACACCTTTTGGATCACGTAACTACAAAGAAGAAAAGCACAGGAAAGAGAAAAAAGTAGAAGTCGATTGCGTGAAATAAGCTATAAACAGTTTGTGGAAGGCATGCTCACACACACACATTAAATTATCCGAGATTAGTTCAACAATAAAAGTAGATCAACTATAAATTTTCACAAAAAAAAGTTCAGCAGAGTCAACCAGTCAAAACTGCTATAGTCTACTTCCGAGGTCCGCAGCTGTTTATTGTATTCTTCTTATTCTTATTGTTCTTTTGGATTCCGAGTGGAAGATACGGCTTCAATAGAACATCTCCACTCCACCCTATTCTCTGCAGTGCCACGATCGCCAAAAGTCTCACCTGCTCCTTACACGATCTACTCCGTGTCACTCTAGGACATGTCTAACTCGTCATTTCCCACCCACGTATCCCGGAGTGTGATTTCATTCAACAGACTCCTCAGTGACTTGTATCCGATTCTTCTCCACTTTCTACACATTTGTTGAGCAATAAGTTCTGTTGTTGCCAGAATTTCCTGTTGATAATCCTGTCTGGACAGCTAGCCAGCCAGCTGATCTCCATTATAGAAACAAAACACATAGTTCAGTGAAGAGTCTTTTACCGGCGAATTCATTCACTTAGCTGTATAATCGTAACTCAATATAGAGCCAGGAAAGTGTGCAGCTAGCTGTTGGTAAAAGTCTGCATTTGGTCTGTTTGAAATGTTTTTCGTGAAGCGCAGTGAAAGTTTCTGACCGGTATAGAAGAACTGACTGACTGACTTGGGATTGGTGTTGAAAATTTGAATCTTGTTCTTTATGCTTGTTGAATGCAGAAGAGTTCCAAACTGTTTTCAGGTTGTTGAAGGCGTATCTTGCCTTTCCGATTCTGACTGGCTGGCTTTGACGTCTTCATCCGTTCCGACTGCCTGGATGCTTCCTAAATAAGTGAAGGAAGTTACGAGGCCTATTCTTTATTCGCCATGCTTACCGTGATCGACTCTAATGATACAATCCATCGTGACGAGGTAACACTTGTGATGCATGTATGTCTGGTTGAACAGGCCTAGTTACGATAAAACGCGCGTTCTGAATTACTCGCCTAGCCGTACCCATGATCAATCAAATAAAAATTTTCTCTTGGTTTCGTGAATCATGATATTCTCCGGTCACCCACTGCTTCTAAGCAATACGATGGATAAACTTCCACATATGATCACTCTGAAATGTGCATTTATTAGTTCACTTGTTCGTGCACAGCTAGATATATGTAGGTCGGCCGTTCTCTGTGGATCCATCCTTTGAAAATGGAGGCTGCAAGACTGCAAACGGGGGCATGGTTCAATCAGAAGTACCATAATTGAACACTTCACCAACACCGTCATACCACCTCAACTGACTCCTCGTTCAAAGTCATTTACAAAATAAGCCAAATTTTACCATAAGTAGTATGTTTTTAACTTCTTTGTACTGCAGAAGCTGTCAGCATATGCAGTAAAAAAGCCGGAGCTGTGTATTCACAAAAAAAAACTAGTCCAACCTCTACATTTATCACGCATCTAGTTCGGTTTGTCTCCTAATTTTTCGGGTTTTTTTCATTTCATTTCCATGCTCACGCTGTTCACATGTGTAGTGGTTAAAAATATTCCTCAATCCTATGGAATTTTTTTTCGAAGCCCCTTTGTAATCGATATATTCATACCTTAGATCTTTCATATCAAGTTGAAAGTCATCATTATTATCGCTCTTTAACCTCCATCATCGTTATTGTATGGAATTAAATGAGAACAATTGTCTCTATGTACACTTATGCATATATAAATGCAACTGTATAGCTGCATTTGAGAATGAAATCTCCGAGAAGATACTTGTCTTTGCTGAAATTCTTCTTGTTCTTCTCTCCCTCACTTTAATGAAAGAAGTATTAGTGCTTTTTAGTAACTAAACAAATAGCTAAACTAACTAACTAACCTTCTCATAATATTCATCGGGTAATTCATTCCCCTCAGATAATTTTGCATATGTAGAAATCTCAGGATTATTATCTGTCACAGGAATAAGTACACTTGGTTTAATTCCTTGTCGAGTCAATGGTTTTGTAGGCCAAAATAAATGCGTACTTGCACAGACAGCTCGACATTGATCATGTTTACGTAGAAGACGTGCAGCAGCTCGTGTACACTGTGTACGCAGTGTAGTCTGATTATCTCCAGTGAAACAGGTGATTTGACATAACGTACTTGTGATTAATGCAATCGCTTCAACCTGAGCATGTGAATCAGACACAGCTTCTTCGTAAAGTGTTAATGCCTGAAATGATGAAATATCAAGAAAAAATTGTTTGGAATTTGGCAAATAATATGAGACCGATTATGAAACAGACAGAAAGACAGTCGGTTATGAAGAAGACAAGCAGATGAGTATCACATTATTATAGGCATACAATCAGTGAGAAATTATTTAGTGATTGGTTACAGCTTTGACCAGTTAGCGAACCAGTGAAAACCAGCGTTAGACTACTGGACAATTATTTCGCCCTACTCTAAGACTCCTCAGCAATACATACCTATCGATGCTCGAACGCAGGACCTTCCAGACGAGCTGGGACCCAACTCAAGTGTTCGTCAATTCAAACTTCTGCCAACAGGTGACGTGTATATATATAGGCCAGTAGCTTTCCTCTCACCTGACTTGATGGACCCTGCTGATTCAATAATTCTCTGAAATGAATACGACCTTAAAATATCGATAGACACACATGTGATCGGTCTGGGGTTTGATTCCCGACCGATACACTCTTAAACCGCGATGAGTCAGTCGTGTTAGGTCGGTAGAGAGAAGGTTCGGCGTGAGGCCAGCAACCCTCCCCCACCCTGTGAACATGAAACTACTGCGACTAAAAATCCATAGATCAAGCTTCCAGCTGTATGTCCCACTGGGAATGCAAAGGAATAAAACTAAAATTCCATGTTTTAAAAGTTTTACCAGCTATGTTTTATAATCAGCGGCAAGTGAAATTGATTCGTGATTTAACTGATAACTAAAGACAGCCTGGACCTCAGCAAATAAGTTGAAGTCAAGGGGTTTTAACTAATATAACTGAGTATATGCTGCTTTGGGTAGACATTATAGGATCAGTTCAAAGCTTCCACTCACACTGAAGTAGAGACATAACTTGATTGGTTTACGCACTAAACTTCGGTTTCTAGTCTGATGAACCTCGCTTCACACCTACTTTAGCTGCTAGGGCAACTAGGTGGTGGAATCATCAGTGTGTGTATATATATGTGTGTGTGCGCCTCACAGCCTGGTACACAAGAGACATGTTTCGCGTGGCAGTTCAACTGTAACTGAACAACACATCTTGTGAACTTTAACATTTTGGAGGAGCCAATTCAAACATTCATGTATAGGATAATCGATTAAATCTGACAATTCTTTGTTTTGGTTACAGGATATCATACTGAGTTGACATCCATTACAGAACCACTGGAAAACCCGGGAGTACTGGACAGTTGTTTCGTCAGTTATTTTGAGACTCTCCAACGATAAGTACCCAGCGGGGTTGAAACTCGGTGGTGATGTGACGTGATGCTACTGGCGACTGGCTCTAATCAGGTAGGTAGTTACTTGGGTTCTCCAGTGAGAAGTCGTGACCAGTGGGATACAGTATGTTGAGTGTAAGGACAGATACTCGCCAGAGATGACATCTGCTAGTGGTCGCGCTATGTCGTGAATTGGAAGAAGTTGGGATTAACAAGATGGCCATCGAGGGAGTCGAGTCTCGGTGGCTCAGTGGTCTACGAGCTGGCTCGCCTTCTGACCGGAAGGAAGTGGGTTCGAACCCTGGCGGTGTGGAGGGTGCGTACTGCCGACGAGCGGTCCCAAACTATGCCGACGAAACAGCTGTCCAGTACACCCAGTTGGTTTTTCAATGGTTCTCTAACCGATGTCAGCTCATGATGAAATCTTGTAACCAATCAAATCAAATCCCTGCAAACCAACACTTGAATTTCGTTTTTCATTTAATACAATAAGATCACACACACAAGCAAACAAACTGCATGAATAAATATAATGCTCACTATGAATGTGTGTGTATACGAGTGCGTGTCTAATGTCCTTAGATTGAACTTTTAAGATTGATCGTGTCACACATACTGTATATGCATTTAAGATTAATCCGGATTTCAATTTTTAAACTGTTAAATGCAAAAATAAAAGCATGATTATCATATATTCACCAACCCGGTGGTTTGTGAGAACAACTAATGCTGGCCGCCGTCATTTTTCCGACATTAGCGCTAGGAGGTGGCGTTATTGTGCATCAGTTGCGATGCGAACAGGGCAATTATTTAACAATAAATGTTGTTCCTACTCTCTAATAGTCTTGTTACAAATCAAAACAAGCCATATATATATATAACAGTGAGGTGGAAAGCACTTACCTGTGAAATAAATTCATATATCATAGACTCTTGATTTTTGAATCTGATCCGATCAATTACCAGGGCTGAATGCAAAAATAAGCGTAAAGCTGATTCAGATGCATCTGCTGCCACTAAACACGTACAACATCGATGACAAAATTGCATAACTCGTGTAACACTTTCTTCCCAATCTGCATTTTGTTCACGTAATTCATAATATGTTTGAATTAATTGTAAACTCTAGAATGAAAATACAACGAAAGAGAAAAAATAATATTTTTGTTTTAGAATAAAATGAATATTGAATGAAATAAATTCAGTTGGCGGCAGAATTCTTAAACATGATATTGTTTAAATATATAACAGCTTATTAGATGGTTGGAGGCATTCGGAAAGAAGTCCTACCTGACCCCTAGGTGTCGGGCTTGCTGACACTCAACAATCAGAAAGGTGTTTCTGAAATTTTGAAGGAACTCATGTCCACTAAGAGATTCAAACTCGCGTCATCCAGTGCTACAGTCATTTACGTTATCGCCTAGGTATTCGGACTAGCGATTCACCTCCGTGTAAGACTCTACTGGATAATTTGATTGCACGCTAGTTAAAAACTAGTCCTGCGGGAGATCAACAGCGAATCAGAATACCTCATTGATAACGTCTATGACTATAGTACTGAGTGACGTGGGTTCGAATCTCAGAAGGGACATGAGTTCCTCCTTTGTTTGCTGATACGCCTGCTTTGCTGACTGGTGAGTGACAGCCAACAGGCACGAAACCTGGGTCGAGCCACGCTTCCTTCCCATTGTCTCCAACCATCTAATATCAACAATTCACAGTGCATTGTGATGGAGAGCCACCTACTGGTGCATGGTGGCCACATTGCACACCTGACCGATAAAATTCAGTCTGCAACAAACTTGTCACTAACTAGTGTCTGATCAAAGCATAAGAGCTTATTATTCACAGGTATATGTCGCAAGTGGATACATCATTCCTATGATGTTTCAAGTTCACTACCCGTGATATGAAGTTAAGTACTATCTACACATTAGTGAAGATTACAGAGGTTGGCACAAAAAGCCGGGATGAAGATTTACCATGGATCAATATGTTAGGGGTAATTAAATCGTTCAGTAAGGAAAGATTCACTCATTACCACAACCACACCAAAGTTAAAACTTCTGTTAGAATTTGTCAGAGCCATTTTGATGTCCAGCCAATATCGACGAGATGAGCTAGCATTGAGCTGCATATAGCAGCCTTATTCGGACCTTTGCCAAACCAACACGGGTAGGTGTTCATTATTTCGACGATGAACTTGCCTGATCGTACGTCTAATGTAACCACCTCCCTCAGGAACAGTTAAACTAGTAAATGCACACGGAAAAGGCGACACAGGAGAGTTTGTCCTTATTTCTTCAACTGAGTATTGGTTGGCTAGTGTGAATAATAAACAGTATAACGTAATTGCGTTAAAATGTCTTTTTGAAGGCCCCTCTTAGACATGTGAATAAAATCTCACTAATAACATCTCCCGTGAATTTTCATCTCAGGAAGACTGACTTTTTGGGAAATGTGGACACCTTAGGCTGTTTACTCGTTGAATGAATACAACTGTTCAAAATTGTTGTCGGATATCCATGCCTACTTAGTAGATTTTCAAGTGCTGGTTTTGTAGGGATTTTGTTTGATTGCATGGAGGATTTCATCATGAGCTGACATCAGTTAGAGAACCACTGGAAAACCTGGGAGTACTGCACAGCTGTTTCGTCCTAGTTTGGGACTCTTCAGCAATATGCACCCACCGACAGGGTTCGAACCAAAGACCTCCCTAGCGAGCTCGTATACCAATGAGCCGTTGGGACCCGATCCAATGGTCCTTGAATTCTAACTTCTACCAGTTCACGACATAACGCGACCGCTTCGCAATGTCTTTTTCGATGAGTTACTGCCTCATCTTCGACCTGCTGTACCCTACTGGTTACGGCTTGCAACTAGAACCCCAGGTTAACTGCCTGAATAGGGCCAGTCGCTAGTGAGCATCAGATTAATTTTTAAGTATCGGTTTTGTAGGGATTTCGTTTGATTGTATGGAGGATTTCACCATGAGCTGACATCAGTAACTTGTAACCAGAAGGTCCCGGGTTCGAACTCCGGTGGGTGCGTATTGCTGAGGAATCCCGAACTAGGACGAAACAGCTGTCCAGTACGCCCTGCAGGTTTTTCAGTGGTTCTTTAACTGATGTCAGCTCATGATGAAATCCTCCATACTTAGTTGATCACGAATACTTGTTCGAAATGGTTTGCGTCACCTGCCAACTTTCAAACACATAAGGAAGAACTGACTCATTCAACAAGATTGGTGTTGAAAATCCGAATTTTGGTGTTTATGCTGTTGAGTGGAGTAGACTGCCAAACTGATTTTACAGTGATGAAGGTCTGTCTTGCCTTTTCGATCCTGATTGGCTTTGACGTCTTCATCCGTGCCATATGCATGTAATTGAAAGGATCTTTCCTAGATAAGTGACGGAGGTAACCGCCTTCGAATCCAACCTCACCTAGTTTATTAGCTCGCTACTTTTCTAGCCGATCCTTAGCCCAAGGGAAAGAAGGGAGGAGGCTGAACATGGGGCTAGCGACCATTCACCGGAAAATCAATCAAACTACTACAGGAACTTCAAAGCACACTTACTACTGTAACTCATTAACACTTAACACTACGAAAAGCACAAACAAATCACGCTTAAATCAAACGCATAACGGAGAAGAAGAAGAATGACATACTCAGGTTTCAGGGTAAAAAAGACGACACTGGACGAATCCATAATGGAACAACGTTCAAATATTAGACAGAGGAAACACCAAAAATGCTCACAGAATTTTTACAACCCTGGTATTCCAGTGGATCATCAATTATTCGACACATTGACATAGACAAAATTTACCAATTGATAAGAAGGAAATTTCATACACAAAGGGTCAAAGTTCAAGTCAAGGAAACAATCAGTACCAATACAAGTAGCCCAAAGAGTGTGAAAACAAACAGTAGCAACCAATCACGTTCAAGGTCGTCAGGAAAATCTAAGAACTCACTTCAAATTGAAGTATGAGCTGAAGGTGTTACCCAGTAAGTGGGGCAATGAAAGTTTCGCACATTAACCCATCCAACTCAGAGAAGACAACTACATCAGAATCTGTCCTAATTTCACATAGTAAATTGACGACAAGAAGGAAGTTAGTTAACTGACTCGTAGATTTACAAGACACTTCCATAAATCTACCTAGGCACTTTTTTGTCACTACTCTAAACTAAATCCGTATTTGAGGAAGAACTAGCTAAACGCATATCTGAATCCGACAGCTGTGCTCACCCTGGAGAAGCCTGGAAGAATATTCAGTCAGCTATAGATACAACTGTAAAAGCTGTGAATAAGACAAATCCAAAGGTGAGTAAAAACCACTGGATTTCGACTGCCTCATCCGAACTGATAGATGCTAGAAGACTTATTCCGGCGAGCTCCGAATTCAATGAGGAGCGAAAGCTGCACAAAAGGAAACTTACTAAAAGTCTCCGCAAAGACCGTGAACAGTGGTGGGTGACAAAGGCGAAAGAGATGGAAAAAGCATTGGCGATAGGCAACACTAGGCAACTCTTTAGACTCATCACAGAATCGGGCGGGAAAAGGCAATTCATAAGTGAGACTATTTCTGAGAAAAATGGCTCCTTAATTAGCTCTCAGGATAGACGCCTTGAACGCTGGAAAGAACACTTTGAGGAACAATTTAACTTGCCTACAGCCACACTGAACCACCCCGCCTCCAAAGCCTCAGGATGGTCGGGGTGGGTGCCTTGCGCTGCGGGTCGGCCACCCCTCCGCACACCTCTTGAAATGCTCCCATATGACCGGGCGTCTTACATAGCCTCTCCTGAGGAAGTCCTACTCACTGCCTTCACGTGGCGGAGGTGTTTCTCACCAAAGTGAGAGGGCGAAAGCGGATGCCCGGCGCTCTCCACCGGGTTGACTGTCCATTGGATGACGGTCTAGGGGAGATGGCTAAACCCTGATTCCAAACCTCCAACGACTGGCGTATGAAGCTCACTGGAGCTCACCGGCAGACGTATGGACAAAGGGCTTGTTGGATGTCCTGGATGTCTGGCCCCATTCAAAAAGGCGTATGAACCGAACTCCGGTCACCGGCTGCCAATGGATAGTGGACTCCTTACTCCACTCCTACTGCCTTGTAGGTCACACTTGGCTGTGTGAAGGCTAGAGCTGCACTCTCAAACAAAAGGCCGAGCGATGCTGGGGACATCACTCGTACCAAATTCCCATGAAACTTCATGAACTCTCTTACAAATTGCCGCGCCTGGGCAGCGATGATTCGAGACGTTCATGAAGCCGGCTCATCCTCCCGTAGGAGATAGCCGAAGTAAAGTAAAAAGTAAGTAAGTATCCACCACGTACCCGAATGGGATATAGACACTGGTCCGCCGTCTGTAGGTGAGGTTACAAAAGCTATCAGTAATTTGAAACGAGGCAAAGCGGCAGGACCCGACGGAATTATTCCGGAGGTGTTTAAATATGGGGGTGACATACTAGTTTGTAGATTAACTGAGGTACTAGGCAAAGTCTGGGAATCAGAGACAGTACCATCAGACTGGGGTAAGTCACTCATTATACAGATATTCAAGAAGGGAAACAAGTCCTCGTGTGATAATCATAGGGGGATCAGCCTAACGAACATAGTCTCTAAAATCCTAGGCTCAGTAATCATGCATAGACTAAGCAGAACTCGGGAGGAACAGACAAGGGAAAATCAAGCAGGCTTTAGACCAGGTAGAGGGTGCATAGATCATATCTTCACTCTTCGACAGATTCTAGAACATAGACACACCTTTCGGCGTCCAACAATTGTCATATTTCTTGACTTAAAGGCGGCCTTCGACTCCGTGGACCGAAAAGTACTATGGCAATGTCTGACTGTGAAGGGAGTGCCAAGAAAGTACATCGCACTAATCAAGGCACTCTATTCAAACTCACGTAGTCGTGTAAGGGCTTATGGGGAATTGTCATCTGAATTAGTAACAACCAGTGGTGTCCGACAGGGATGTCCACTTTCCCCATTTCTGTTTAACTTCATCACAGATATGCTAATGGAAGTATCCTTAACTGAACGTAGTGACTTAGGAATCGACTTGTTACCAGGGAATAATCTAATGGACTTAGAATATGCAGATGACATAGTCCTGTTAGGGGAGGATGCTGACAAAATGCAGAGTCTTCTGAACACCTTGAGCAGCAATCTTCGTATGTTTGGCATGCGATTAGCCCCTGCAAAATGTAAGATGCTGCTACAGGACTGGACGACGTCAACCCCTAACTTAGTGATAGGGAGTGAAGTGATAGAACATGTTGACCACTTCACCTACTTGGGAAGTTGTATTAGCACCAACGGACTGATTGGCGATGAAATCTCAGCACGGATCCGAAAACCTCGAGCTGCTTTCGCTGACTTACACCATCTCTGGCGTAGGCGTGACATCCGGTTATCAACCAAGGGACGTGTGTACTGCTCATCAGTTCGCTCCGTCCTTCTCTATGGCTCTGAAACATGGCCAATACGAGTTGAAGACATGAAAAGGTTGACTGCTTTCGATCATAGATGTCTGCGATCTCTGTCTCACGTTAGGTGGTTTCACAAGATAAGTAATGTTGACGTTAGGCGTAGAGTGTTGGGCAAAGAGGGAAAATCAATCGATGAGGTTATAAAGTTACATAGACTAAGATGGCTAGGTCACGTGGTGCGCATGCCTAACCACCGCCTCCCCCGACGGGCATTGTTAGCTGATATAGGTTCAGGTTGGAAAAGAGCCAGTGGTGGCCAAACAAAAACATGGCATCAATCCATGAAATCCTTGACAGTTAAACTGAGTCAGGTAGGGAGATGCAGACTCCCGGGTTGGGGCCCTCGGGACTCTAGGAATCAATGGCTGGAGACAATAGGTGACATGGCTCAAAATCGTTGTCAATGGCGCAGATGTATTCAGTTTCTGTAATCTTTCATATTCCTTTCTACCATTACCCATTCTGTTTCACTCCTATATTTGTCAAACTCTATTAATTCTCACCACTCATCTTCTTGTCTACCTCTGTGTGCTATTTGGAACGTGGCAACTCGAACTGCTGCACTTCGGTGCCAAGTTCTATGTTGAATCCAGACAGACAGACTCTAAATGGAAGCACGATCCCACTATAATGTAAAACAGAGTTCAGTAGAAGAGAACAAAAAGGGAGGGGAAAGAAGACATCACTTTTCTTACCTGAAATACAAGTGCAGGAAAATTGAAACGAACAATAGCATGACCAGCTTGTTCCAAGTGTTGTTGTGCTTTTGAATACAACTTAAAACACATATCTGGATCGATACTTTGTGGACTTGGACCTAGAATATGAAGGATACCAGCTATTAAACTTTGTGCTTCCGTGAATTCATTCACATCTTCACATGTATTCGGATCAGTTGTCAACAGTCCATCGATTAATTCGAATAGATTATCTAAATCTGTTTCAGTAGTTAAACGTGATGAATACGCCGGTGACGATGTATTGCCAACAGATGAATCTTTCGTAGTAGTTGTAGTAGTATCATGACGATTGGATTGAGGATATTGACTATGCTGACGTTGACGTTGATCTCGTTCTAATGCTGCATTCAACAAATCATAGGCCAGTCGACATTTTGTAGTTTTTGGGTCCAATAGTGAGACTAGACGTCGAAAGCCAGACATGCCTAGTACTGTTCGTAGATCACTAAGTGCTGTCAATGGAGCGCTGATACGATGAACACCACTCATTGACTGAGGAAATGTCCCGTCTAGGGGTAAGTAGAGCAGGCGGAGTAAATCACGTGATAATGAAGATCCAGATGGTATTCTGTGTGGATGTAGAGAAACAGGTTAAAACAGTAATCATGGGCGTTTTTTCCATTCTATTGTTTATGGCATATAATTACATACATCACAGTATTAAAAGGATAGTGTGTTTAACGAAAATAAGTCCAACAATAATTGGCTTGCCACCATTTTTGTCTAATATCAGAATTATTCACCATACTATACTACTTAACACGGATGATAGAGACAGCTGAACTTTTTTGCATATTTTCCACTTTTAATGGCCATATCTCATAGCCATAGAGAGACGGTGAGACAAAGCGAACTGTTACTGTGCAGTGCACACGTAATTTGATAAACAGATAGCTGAGTATCACGTCTACCTACTGCATGAATGATTTGAACTGGCAAATGTCAAAAGCGATTTTAGCAACAATCAGTCTATTAGGTCTGCTGAAGTTCAGTGGTAATTATGCAGAAGGCTAGTGATATATATCCATATAATATGTATGTTTTGTTTGACAGTCGGTTATATTTTACTATGTATACATGGATCGATATTCCATTATAATTAGCCAATCATGTTAAGACTGTCTATTGATTTGTTCATTTTGAATATTCGCACACACACTTGTTCGGACATTGATTCATATTTTTGCTCTCACACACTTGTGTGACATATTGATTCTCCTTGTGTTTGGAAAATAGAAGTATCATCGCAAACCTAGTGGTCTTCTGATTTCCGTCTTTCTTGCGTCAGGACTATTAAATTCTCGACCAGTACATAACAGCTAGTTTCGCATATGTCAGTTTACACCGAAAGCTGCTACCTTGACGTGGTGGTCGGGCTTGAACACCGCAATGATCTATTCAAGCTATACTGGCTGAGACTTATGTCTCTTGAGGTTCTACCATGCCAGGCAGGTTGTTTGGATAGCGGTTAAACAAAAAGCAGCTACCCAATCCAACATCATGTCCAATACAAAATCACAAAATTTCATGCCGGATCGGCCGTGGCCCGGATTAACAACGACCGCGCTTCCTGCTGCCGTGTCACAGGGCAGGAGTGATAAATATGCTACTGAGACACACAAAACAAAAAGAACAAACAAAAACAGGCCGCGTGTGACCGGCCTCAAGCAGTTGTCCCCTGGGCTCTGCGGTCACGCAACCAACTTCCACGGTGTGGGCATCGCCCTCACAATCCGAAATGCACACGAAACCTCTCTATTACTCACTCATCTTTGTCTTCATCTTCATCTCTATCATCTTGCCTTCCTTCCACTGATGCAACTCCTCGACTTGATAGCTCTCCACTTCCTCTCCACTCTGCGTCCACTAAAAACGATGGAAGCCAAAAAACCACCACCGACAGCCTCTTAAAGCCGCGCCACCAATTTCATATAGGAGCTCTTAATGTTAGGACACTTTGCCAAATAGGACAACAAGCATCACTAGCCAAGACCCTGGCATCACGAGCCATTGATGTATGCTGTGTTTCAGAAACACGCATACAAGACCCAAGTGTGGTTATTCACCTAACCCCACCTGGCCAACAGGTTGAATCTGCAAAATTCACCTTGAGGGTGTCAGGAGATGCCACAGCTAGTTCACGAGGATTAGCTGGCGTAGGGATAGCTTTGAGTACTAGGGCAGAAAAGACATTGCTTGACTGGATCCCGGTAGATAGCCGAATGTGTGCTGTCCGCCTGAACGGATCAGTAAGAAGGAGAAGGACTGCACTACTCGCCGATGCCTTTTCGTAATCTCCGCCTACGCCCCCACTGACTGCAGTTCAGATGAAACGAAGGATGAGTTCTACCAAAAGCTGTCTAGTTTGGTGAGAAAGGCTAAACGCTCAGACATAGTCGTTCTAGCTGGTGACTTTAACGCTCAAGTAGGGAAATTGTGTCAATCTGAGAAGGATGTCGGTGGCACCTATGGAGTTCCGTGCCAGCGAACCGACAACGGTGACCGTCTCCTACAGTTCTGCTCTGATAATCATTTGTTTCTTGTAAGCACTAACTTCAAACACAAGGAGAGACACTGTTTGACTTGGAGACCCCCTTCATCAAACCAACGCTGGACACAAATAGACCACATAGCAATAAGCTATCGTTGGCGTGGGTCGGTAGGAGATTGTCGCTCCTTCTGGAACACGTGCGTAGATACCGACCATGCACTGGTCCGCGCTCGGGTGTGCTTACGACTGAACGGACGTAGGAAACAGCTGGCGGTAAAACCATCACGTCCCCAGCTCGATCAGGAAACTAAATCCGTATTTGAGGAAGAACTAGCTAAACACATATCTGTGTTCGACAGCTGTGCTCACCCTGAAGAAGCTTGGAAAAATATCCAGGCAGCCATAGATACAGCTGTAAAAGCTGTGAATAAGGTAAACCCAAAGGTGAGTAAAAACCACTGGATCTCCACCGCCTCATCCGAACTGATAGATGCTAGAAGACTTATTCCGGCGAGCTCCGAATTCAATGAGGAGCGAAAGCTGCACAAGAGGAAACTTACGAAAAGTCTCCGCAAGGACCGTGAACAGTGGTGGGCGACAAAAGCCAAAGAGATGGAGAAAGCTTCGAGGATAGGCAACACCAGGCAACTCTTTAGACTCATCAGGGAAACGGGTGGGAGAAGACAAATCATTAGTGAGACAATCTCGGAAAAAAATGGCACTATAATTAGCTCCCAGGATAGACGACTGGATGGAAAGAGCATTATGAGGAGCAGTTTAATTTGCCCACAGCCACGCTCAACCTTCCGAGCATCCAACACCTCCCTGAATGGGATATAGACACAGGTCCTCCGTCCCTAACTGAGGTTACTAAAGCTGTCACCAATCTGAAACTAGGCAAAGCAGCGGGACCTGATGGAATGACTCCAGAGGTATTTAAGTACGGTGGAGACAGCTTACTGTCTGCATTAACTGAGGTACTAGGCAGCGTCTGGGAATCAGAAGAAGTCCCATCGGGTTGGTGTAAGTCACTGATTATCCCCATATACAAGAAGGGAGACAAGTCTTCCTGTGATAATCACAGAGGGATTAGCTTGACTAATATAGTATCTAAAGTCTTAGGCTCAATAATCATGCGTAGACTGAGTGGTGCTCGGGAAGCACAAACACGAGAGAGCCAGGCAGGCTTTAGACCAGGAAGAGGGTGTATTGATCATATCTTCACCCTCCGACAGATTCTAGAACATAGGCATTCCTACCGGCGTCCAACAGTCATTATATTTCTTGACCTAAAGGCAGCATTCGACTCTGTCGATCGGGAAGTTCTCTGGAGATGCTTGGCTGTAAAGGGAATTCCGAGAAAATATATTGCACTGATTAAGGCACTCTACTCGTACTCATACAGCCAGGTGAGGGCTTACGGCGAGCTGTCATCTGAACTGATGACGACCAGTGGTGTCCGTCAAGGATGCCCATTATCCCCTTTTCTATTCAACTTCATCATAGATGTGTTAATGGACTTAACCCTAGGTGACTTCAGCGACTCAGGGATTGACTTGCTACCGGGAATAATCTCGTTGACTTGGAATATGCAGACGATATAGTCCTTCTAGGCGAAGACGCTGACGAAATGCAGAGTCTTCTAAACACCTTGAGCCGCAATCTACGAATGTTTGGCATGCGATTCGCTCCCGCCAAATGCAAGATGATGTTACAGGACTGGACTACATCGACGCCTAGTTTAAAAATAGGAAGTGAAGTGGTAGAGCACGTTGACCGCTTCACTTATTTGGGAAGTACCATCAGCCCCAACGGGCTGATCTCTGACGAAATCTCAGCACGAATACAAGGGGCTCGTTTCGCATTTGTTAGTTTACGCCGACTCTGGCGTAGACGAGATGTTCGACTATCGACCAAAGGGCGGGTGTACTGCTCATCAGTCCGCTCCGTCCTCCTTTATGGTTGTGAGACCTGGCCACTGAGAGTGGAAGACATGAAAAGACTAGCTGTCTTTGATCATAGGTGCCTGCGCTCTATTTCCCGTGTAAAGTGGCATAATAAGGTGAGCAACATTGAGGTTAGGCGTCGAGTTCTAGGTAAACAGGGGAAATCAATCGACGAAGTCGTGAAGTTACAAAGACTGAGATGGTTAGGACATGTGTTACGTATGCCTAGTCATCGCCTTTCTTGACAAAGGGCAATGTTAGCTGACATAAGGGTCATGTTGGAAAACAGAGACAGTGGTGGTCAAACGAAAACATGGCTTCATCAGTCAATGAATTTCATAACAGTTAGTTTAAGCTAGTCACGTAGGAATGTGTAGACTTCCTGACTGACTGAGTGGGGTCCTCGGGACGGTAAACACTAACGAAGACTGGAGATAATTGGTGGTACGGCTGAAAATCGTTCTCAATGGCTGGTACAGATGCATCCACTCCTTGTGGCCCAACAAAACCATACTGTTCGTCCATATTACTTTTTTGCCTCATATCTCGGTTTACTGTCTCTATTTTGCATTTACTTTTACTTTCTTGTCTTGCTTTGTGTGCTACATGGTGTGGCGACTCGAACTGCTGCACATCGGAGTAAAGTTTTATGTTGACAGCAGAATCAATCTCTTCGACTAGATGTCACAAATATTCTACCTAATTGTTAATGATACCATCGTCCAACTGTTCTTTGGCAATAGGGACTGTGTTGGAGACACGTACAATTGAAGAGATGAGAATAATATCTTTTCAAGTATTGGTTTGTAGGGATTTGATTGATTGGTTACAGGATTTAATCATGAGCTGACAGTAGTTACAGAACCATTAGAAAACCTGGGGTTCTAGTGGGAAGTCGTGACCAGTGGGGTGCTTCCAGTCGGAAGTGAGGATTTTCCGCCGACAACATTGGTTGGTGGCCGCGCTAAAATCACGAATTGGTAGAAGTTGGAATTCATGGGCCACTGAATCGAGTACCAGGAGCTGTTTGTTATACGAGCTAGCTTGACTTGTAACCGAAAGGTCCTGCGGTTCAAACCCCTACAGTGAGTGCGTACCGCGGACGATTCCCAGATTATTATTTATTATTCAAAGTCAGTTTTTAGGGATTTGATATTAGTTAAAGAAGCACTGAAAACCAGCACTGGAGTACTGGACAACTGTCTCGTTACTTCAGTCTGAGACTCACCGCTAGTACACACCCATCCCATTGGGGTTCAAACCCAAGAGCTTGCGACTACAAAGCGAGCTGGTATACCATTCGGCCACTAGAAGCGAGCTCAGTGGCCTACCCATGAATTCTAGCCTCTACCAATTAGTGACTTCAGCGGGAGACTAGCACCAGCCAATGTGTCATTGCTGGTGAGTATTTGACCTCACTTCCGATCACTTGATGAACTCCACTGTTGGACACGACTTCTTGCAAGAACTCCAATCAACTTCATCTACCCGTAGCCAGCCAGTCATTAGAGAGCATAAGATAAATTTCTAAGTTTGTTTGTCGGGTCACATTTCAGTGGCTGAATGGTCTATGAGTTGGCTTTGCTTGTAAGCAGGAGGTCCTAGGTGCGAACCGTAGTGGGGTGGGTTCGTACTGAAGCTGAATCCCAAACTTGACTGACAAAACAACTGTCTAGGAACTCCAGTGATGGTTTGCGATAGTTCTTTCACTGATATAAACCCGTGGTTAAACTTAAAGCAATATAAAAGTGTTGCAGATTACATGCTGTCAAAAAAATCACTCATATTTAGAATAATGTGATTATCATTACCAGTAATAAAATAAACTTACAATGAAAGACCAACATGATGCAGTGAATCAGCTGTAGCATTTAAACAAATATCAATTAATGGAGCACAATTATTCGGTCGTAATATCATAGCTAAATAAACCAGGGCTGAATAAAACGCTGGTATATCCTCCAAGGGTAAGCCATTCAATGCAGCTACCGTTTGTATTGTAGGCCGATTTTTCATATTACAACATGACATTTGCATATTTTTATAGGTTAATTCACATAGAGCTAAACGTGTATGAATTAATTGACTGACTTCAACGAAAAATAAGGAGAAGAGATCGGTTACGGCTGGTATTGTACTGCTGTTATTATTATTATTATTGTTAGTCGTTTTGGTGGTATCAATAGTCTCATGAATACTGTTATTTGCTTGCATCTCATCACTGAGTTGAGTAGGCCTGCTCAATTCATCAGCTACAGGAAGTACTGATGGAGATGTGTCCTCCTCATTCTCTTCCTCTTGTTCATTATTGGCTGAAGAAGACGAAGAAGGAGTGTTAACACTCTCGTCGCCATTACTATGATTACTTTTATCAGTGTGATGATGACGTAATCCGTCTTCTTTTATTGGTGAATTAATATTATTATTGTTACATGAGACTTGAATTTTTAATTCACGACCAGCTTCCAATTCAGCTGCAGCATGCTTTGATAAACTGAAAGAAAGAACATACAATTTGGGAAGATATCCTTAGATATAAATGTGAAATAGGAACAAACAGTTTACAGTAGAGACTCTGTTTTTTCAATGGAACTCTCTAAGGGAAGTGAATGTCAAAACACTCTGAAAAGAAGCATTCTCTACATCGACATTAACAGGGGATATTCTCCTGATGTCCAAATGTTCACTCATAACTCAAAAGACAGAGTACAACGAATATACATTTCTATGCATATCTGTAAACCCAACTGCTCTTGTGGATGGAGACTTGACTTATTGGCATAAGCATTCGAATTACAATCCATGGGCCTCAGGTTCGAATCCCACTCCATCATCAGCAGCAGCAACACTCACACAATATGCATGCCTCCTCATACCTTGGAACATGGACGGCTATATTTCAGGAACTGAGTTCAAACAAAAGCCAGCGAGTAGAATTATATATATGTATAGGTTGTTGAATCCGTATTTTATTCAGAAATGAGTTAAGGAACACTATTTTGGATGGCTAAAATAAGGAGGTCACAATATCATGAACATGCTATAAATGAACATATATTCAATACTGAATCACTGAAGACAGAACCAATTCTAAGTGGTTTTTTTCCTCTCATCATTTCCTTCAAGGACTGATTGCACAGTGTTTTGTTGAAAGCCAGTTAAATATGTTCAAGAGTTCATATTAGTGATCATTTGATATAACTGCATTGGTTGAAACAATAAGAAATGCAGGAAAAAGTTCAAGCATCTCGATGGATGGAAATTTTGATAGCCCAGTGATTTAACCAGGCTACTGCTTACTGGTGTGCGATTAATGTGAATTCGAACTTTTAAAAGTTCTTAATTTCCTGTTAGATTATATGTGTGTATATTTTGTTAGGTAGATGGTAGGTAGTTAAATAAAACTCTCAGTACAGTACCCTGAACAGATTCTTAATGTACCAGTGTCGTTGAACCCTACTTTTTTTTTGTGAGAGCTGATTACTACTACCCACTTGTTCAGGTTGAAGCAGATGGAAAGATATTAGAACCAGTTTACTTGCTCGTGTGGAGCCAAGTACATTGACCGTACCATGCATCCGCCACCTTCGGAAACAATATCCAGCAAAGGAGAATGCAAGTAAAGGTGTATATAGTTCGGTAGCAGAACATCTGGTGGTGAATTCAGGACGTTCAGTTCGATTCGATGGAAAGTCCTTCGAAGTCATATACCAGATCCTATTAAACCTCTCAAAAGGAACTGAAATTGAGGGACGTAGGAAAAGGTGAGGCACCAGCGATCCAAAGGTTCAAGCCAACACTATGTATCTAAAAGAAATAACGTCCAACCGATGTCCCTATGATAACCATCATCATATTAGCTTTATTATCCAACCTTTTTGTTTATTTCTGCTATTTTTACGTTTTTTCAAAATCGCTATCTACATTACTTTTCTTTATTTGAACCTCCTGCCTGTTTTGTTATTACTACGTTTTTAATCGTGGGTCACTGGCACAGCGGCAGAACTCTTGCCAACCACACCTTATGTGATTTGAGGTTCTATCCCCAGCCGACGCAGTCTTTTACCCCGCTAAGCTAGTAATAAAACTGGTAAAGACGGAAGGCTGGGCATGAGGCTAGAAGCTTAATTTCATATATAAATAAACACCACTGCTACCGAAACTTCAGGACTCCAGCTTGAAACCGCTCTATGTCCCACCAACGGGAACGTAAAGGAACAAAAAAAGGTTTTGAATCCCTAGTTGCATTAACAGTCAAGTTTTTCAATAGTTATGATCCTACTATGTCTTTTTATCCAATCTATCTATTTATTGCACTTTTTAATTTTATTAATTTGACCTTTCACGGGAAATAGTCCTGGAACTTTTTCACCAATTTACTCTGTAAATATATGAATGTACAGCCTAGTTGACGGTGAATTCGTCGAAAAGAAAATTTTCTTCTCGACTGCAACCATCTTTTTAATGACTTGGGATGCATTTGACTGACAGTTGAGTGCTAATTACCTACGAGTTACATCTAGACACGTATACCTTAGTGGTAAAGACGCCAAAATTAGTGAAAGAACGTCAACTAGAGTCTTCTGCATAGAAAGGTTCATTTTTCTCGGAACCAAAATCAAGACAAGTAAAAGAATATGACAGCATCCCTCCGAGTGGCTACATAGATTTTAAAAGAAATACCATGTAAAATTAGTATTTTACTGGTGTGGCGTAGGCTAAATATGTGTAAACTTGGGCACTGTGGTATTAAGTAATTCCATATTTTGATTATTAAAGGATCCTGTAGAGCCATTAAAACAAAACAATTTAGTTTATCTAATACCCTGCAATGATTGTGAGGTCAAAATATAGGTCAAATAGTAGAACAGGGGCAGTCAGCGCCGAACATAAAAACCTAGCTAAATCTAGATTGGTTGACCCGAATAAGATAAGATATCTAAAGAGTAGTTCAGCTATAGCACTAGCAGTTACACACAACCATACAATAGGATGGATAGGATGACAGTTTTAAAATCTAATGTCACAGGTATAGGGAGAGATTGATAACAGAAGCTTTGTTTATCGAATCAACTGCAAATACATGTAATAGGAATGATTCAACACCTGTCCCAGATATATGGAAAATTCTACTGCCCATACAACAAATAGGAGAAGACAGAGAAAACTATAAAAATAAAATCTCGAAGTCGTGTGACAAAAATTGTGATTATGAACAATAAATAGTGTTCGAAACGTCATCCAGTATACAATACTGTTTCACTGTGTGATACATTTAGTAGCGTAGGCTACTGATAAGATTTATTAGTAGTATATAAAGAGACATTCATCGGTATAAAAACACCACATAGACGTCAGAGAAAGCAAATGATACGGCGTTGTGTAGATACATGGAAAGAGACGTGAAAGGAACACAAAGAAACACAATATAAACAAAGGATAGACGTAGCGCAACACGGATGATCTGTGAGAATGGTGAGTTGAAGATAAGGTGTAGAGATACCAAATTGCAAATAAACAATTCTTTACCAAGGCTTAGTCTTCTACTGTTACACTAGTAATAATAATAATAATAATAGTCACAATAAGCGCTAATGACTAACTCACCGATCAATAAGACCGCAAACAATTGGCTTCGGTTTAACACCTGATTGTAAATGATTACATGTACGCAATAACAGTGGTAAAGTGACCATATGAAATTCATCAGGGAAAACCTTAAACAATAAAATTATAAAAAAGAAAAGTCTTAAAAAAAACAATATCAAATAAATAGAAGTGGTTTTCGAGACAAAATTGATTTTATGTATCATAGAGCAGGCCCTTGGATGGATGGTCTGGGTTGATTTGCAGTGCTAATATGTAAAATGTTAACAAAACTAGGAGTATTTTAGGCGTAAAAGTGTTTTTACCGGAACTACGACCTGGCCGACTATGAGCGAATACTAACTTAATGCACCGGCTAATCTGTCCTAATCGCACGTCAATACAAAAAAACTCCACCGGCAAGCAAAGATAGAGAAGACTGGACGTTGATAAGAGAGCTTTCAGTGTCTCAGAACAACAGTCATAAAAAGATTGACAGCGACTGCGTATATATATATATAATATAAATATTATATATATATTAGATGGTTAGAGGCAATTGAAAGGAAGCCTTGCTTGACCTAGGTCTCGTGCTAGTGTTGGCACTCACCAGTCAGCAAGACGTATCTGTGACCTCCTTGAAAAAACGCATGTCCCTTCTGATTCAAACCGGAGTCACACAGTGCTACAGTCATAGACATTTCCACTCAGCTATTCGGGCTCACGATTGACCTCCTGTAGGACTGTAGTGGATATTTTGATTTGACACTAGTAACTAGTGTGACGTGTTTAGTCCTTCCTGACTGAATTCTCTCAGTCAGGTTTGCAATGTGGTCACCATTCTAGGCAGCTCGCCGTCACGGCGTACATTGATTTGATGATATTAGATGGTTGGAGGCAATCGGCAGGAAGCCTTGCTTGACATAGGTTTCGTGCTAGTTGACGCAGGTTCGAATTTCAGAAGGGGGGAAATGAGTTATTCAAGGTTACAGATACGCCTTACTGATGAGTGCCAACTAAACATTGATGGTGAAAATCCGAATCTTTTTGTTTATGCTGCAGGGTGGATAGAGAGTGTCCAAACTGATTTCATAGTGATGGTGATCTGTCTTGCCTTACCGATCCTGACTGGTTTTGAGTTCCTTAGCCGTGCTGACTGCCTGTAGTTTAATTGATACAATCTAGCCACATAAGTGAAGCAAGTGACCTATTCTTTCAAATTTATTCCGTTTTTAGTGATTGGTGCTTCTTGTTGGTTGGTTGGTTGGCTATTTTCATCACTTCCGTCTTCTCCATGCCCATTTGAAATCTTAGCTTCGCTGTTTGCCTATTCGGCCACCTTTTTGGTTTTCACCTGTAGGTCTTCGAGTTTGTGATAATATACATAAACCATCCGCGTAATTCAGATCTTTATTTACGAGTGGGGAAACATTAAATCTTTGAAAAATATATTTACAATTTGCGAAGAATGCTTTTGTGTCTACATTCCACAAGGAGTTTTCTCTCACGTTTATTACAAATTCATATTTTTACCACTTCCCACTCACATGAAATCACACTATATGCTACTTTCATACATTCTTACAAGTAGGTTTCACCAGCCTTGGGTCAATGTGATGATGACTGGTCACTGATTGCTAGATATTCACATGAACAGAGTTTTAAAAAGCCTCAAGTTTCGCAAAGTTGGTGTTACGCTTATGATTCTGTAAGTATATGTAGGCACATCTAGACTTCAAGCGATACAGTGAGTTCACTTACTGAGAAATTGGTGTACCTAATTAGTTAGTTAGTCAGTTAGTTAGTTGGGCTCAGTTACCCATCCTGGTTTATACAAGTACCACGCTGAAGCAAATGGAGTGGGAACTCTATCTCCAGATGTATTAACTGGAAGTTGAGTGCTTTAAAGCCAACAAGCTAAATCTCCACCACATGCATCGGAGACGATACCACATTGACAATACATCAGTTCTCATCCAACCATCAAAATTAGGCATGGGTGCAATTAATACTGAACAATCTAGGTTAAAAAAATTCTCACTACCAAGTAATGAAATCAGATCACAACAAAATCAATACCTAAAGTTCACACAAACACACAAGCAACGAAATGAAATGACTGCTCTAAGGTATATATATATATATATATATATTACTGCAGGATAAATGATTAAAATTTGTACAGTTCATTTGAATGTTATCACGATTCAAACAAATTTACATCCTTTTCTATCTACACATGTCAAGAAGTATCAGAACAAATACTGTTAATCGATAATTTTTTCTACCACAGGAATACTTTGTACCCACAATCTATAGATGACACTGTACACTTGTGAACCATGTATATTGCAGAAAAAAATCCCCATGTATGGGAATTAAGATAAAGTACTGAAATCATATTTAAGAAAGGTAAACTTCAAAACTGTATTCCAAACAGACAGTTATCTATATTGCACAAAAATATTTTGCAAAAACTTCAGGAGAGTATACGTGCAATCAAAATGTGTTAAGCACAAGATATTCACTTTACTCATTGCTGTCACTCAACTGTCATGCAAAATATTAAGGAACCCCCCCATATAATATTGTAACGACAGAAGACAAGGGCCAGGCAACAGATCGTTTATTAAATTAAAAGGTATTTATAGATTTTTATGTACATTATTGTTAGCGGAGAAGAAACATCTTCTAATTGGTTGTTTTCTTGTTGAAGGTTCTTCTGTATTGCTCTGTGACGGTTTCTCAGAAAATTAAGGCAAATATCTGAGAATCATATTTCTACACTTTAACTCCGCTGTGATTGGTTGGTGATTTTCTCAAGGTTAAGCTTTGTTATCCTCTTTCTCACGATCCTAATACGAGACGTAACATTGAATTAAATTGTTGTCTACGATTTTTGGCTTGAGGCCCGCTCTCACCACAATATAATGCGTAGGTCTTTTAGTGGTAGAATGCTTGCCAGCCACGCACATGGTCAGAGTTCGATTTTCGACTGATACACTCTTCTATTGAAGTTAGGCATCGAGTGTTAGTTACGAAGAGGAAATCAGTCGACGAGGTTGCGAAGCTACATTGATTGAAAGAGGTGGTTACGGCATGTGTTACACATACCTAGCAATCGCTTTCGACTGACAATGTTAGCCACTGGTACAGGATCGATCAGGTTGGAAAAGAGCTAGTAGTATTCAAACCAAAACATCGCTTCATCAGTGAAGGAAATCCATAAGAGTTAGTTCAAGCCAGCCAGTCATTAGTGAGACAATCTCGGAAAAAAATGGCACTATATTAGCTCACAGGATAGACGACTGGATCGTTGGAAAGAGCATTATGAGGAGCAGTTTAATTTGCCCACAGCCACGCTCAACCTTCCGAGCATCCAACACCTCCTGAATGGGATATAGACACAGGTCCTCCGTCACTAACTGAGGTTACTAAAGCTGTCACCAATCTGAAACTAGGCAAAGCAGCGGGACCTGATGGAATGACTCCAGAGGTCTGTCTGTCTGTCTGTCTGGATTCAACATAGAACTTGGCACCGAAGTGCAGCAGTTCGAGTTGCCACGTTCCAAATAGCACACAGAGGTAGACAAGAAGATGAGTGAAGAGAATTAATAGAGTTTGACAAATATAAGAGTGAAACAGAATGGGTAATGGTAGAAAGGAATATGAAAGATTACAGAGATTGAATACATCTGCGCCATTGACAACGATTTTGAGCCATGTCACCTATTGTCTCCAGCCATTGATTCCTAGAGTCCCGAGGGCCCCAACCCGGGAGTCTGCATCTCCCTACCTGACTCAGTTTAACTGTCAAGGATTTCATGGATTGATGCCATGTTTTTGTTTGGCCACCACTGGCTCTTTTCCAACCTGAACCTATATCAGCTAACAATGCCCGTCGGGGGAGGCGGTGGTTAGGCATGCGCACCACGTGACCTAGCCATCTTAGTCTATGTAACTTTATAACCTCGTCGATTGATTTTCCCTCTTTGCCCAACACTCTACGCCTAACGTCAACATTACTTACCTTGTGAAACCACCTAACGTGAGACAGAGATCGCAGACATCTATGATCGAAAGCAGTCAACCTTTTCATGTCTTCAACGCGTATTGGCCATGTTTCAGAGCCATAGAGAAGGACGGAGCGAACTGATGAGCAGTACACACGTCCCTTGGTTGATAACCGGATGTCACGCCTACGCCAGAGATGGTGTAAGTCAGCGAAAGCAGCTCGAGCTTTTCGGATCCGTGCTGAGATTTCATCGCCAATCAGTCCGTTGGTGCTAATACAACTTCCCAAGTAGGTGAAGTGGTCAACATGTTCTATCACTTCACTCCCTATCACTAAGTTAGGGGTTGACGTCGTCCAGTCCTGTAGCAGCATCTTACATTTTGCAGGGGCGAATCGCATGCCAAACATACGAAGATTGCTGCTCAAGGTGTTCAGAAGACTCTGCATTTTGTCAGCATCCTCCCCTAACAGGACTATGTCATCTGCATATTCTAAGTCCATTAGATTATTCCCTGGTAACAAGTCGATTCCTAAGTCACTACGTTCAGTTAAGGATACTTCCATTAGCATATCTATGATGAAGTTAAACAGAAATGGGGAAAGTGGACATCCCTGTCGGACACCACTGGTTGTTACTAATTCAGATGACAATTCCCCATAAGCCCTTACACGACTACGTGAGTTTGAATAGAGTGCCTTGATTAGTGCAATGTACTTTCTTGGCACTCCCTTCACAGTCAGACATTGCCATAGTACTTTTCGGTCCACGGAGTCGAAGGCCGCCTTCAAGTCAAGAAATATGACAATTGTTGGACGCCGAAAAGTGTGTCTATGTTCTAGAATCTGTCGAAGAGTGAAGATATGATCTATGCACCCTCTACCTGGTCTAAAGCCTGCTTGATTTTCCCTTGTCTGTTCCTCCCGAGTTCTGCTTAGTCTATGCATGATTACTGAGCCTAGGATTTTAGAGACTATGTTCGTTAGGCTGATCCCCCTATGATTATCACACGAGGACTTGTTTCCCTTCTTGAATATCGGTATAATGAGTGACTTACCCCAGTCTGATGGTACTGTCTCTGATTCCCAGACTTTGCCTAGTACCTCAGTTAATCTACAAACTAGTATGTCACCCCCATATTTAAACACCTCCGGAATAATTCCGTCGGGTCCTGCCGCTTTGCCTCGTTTCAAATTACTGATAGCTTTTGTAACCTCACCTACAGACGGCGGACCAGTGTCTATATCCCATTCGGGTACGTGGTGGATGGCGGGGAGGTTCAGTGTGGCTGTAGGCAAGTTAAATTGTTCCTCAAAGTGTTCTTTCCAGCGTTCAAGGCGTCTATCCTGAGAGCTAATTAAGGAGCCATTTTTCTCAGAAATAGTCTCACTTATGAATTGCCTTTTCCCGCCCGATTCTGTGATGAGTCTAAAGAGTTGCCTAGTGTTGCCTATCGCCAATGCTTTTTCCATCTCTTTCGCCTTTGTCACCCACCACTGTTCACGGTCTTTGCGGAGACTTTTAGTAAGTTTCCTTTTGTGCAGCTTTCGCTCCTCATTGAATTCGGAGCTCGCCGGAATAAGTCTTCTAGCATCTATCAGTTCGGATGAGGCAGTCGAAATCCAGTGGTTTTTACTCACCTTTGGATTTGTCTTATTCACAGCTTTTACAGCTGTATCTATAGCTGACTGAATATTCTTCCAGGCTTCTCCAGGGTGAGCACAGCTGTCGGATTCAGATATGCGTTTAGCTAGTTCTTCCTCAAATAGGGATTTAGTTTCCTGATCGAGCTGGGGGCGTAATGGTTTTACCGCCAGCTGTTTCCTACGTCCGTTCAGTCGTAAGCACACACGAGCCCGGACCAGTGCGTGATCGGTATCTACACACGTGTTCCAGAAGGAGCGACAATCTCCTACCGACCCACGCCAACGATAGCTTATTGCTATGTGGTCTATTTGTGTCCAGCGTTGGTTTGATGATGGGGGTCGCCAGGTTAAACAGTGTCTCTCCTTGTGTTTAAAGTTAGTGCTTACAAGAAACAAATGATTATCTGAACAGAACTGTAGGAGACGGTCACCGTTGTCGGTTCGCTGGTACGGAACTCCATAGGTATTTAAGTACGGTGGAGACAGCTTACTGTCTGCATTAACTGAGGTACTAGGCAGCGTCTGGGAATCAGAAGAAGTCCCATCGGGTTGGTGTAAGTCACTGATTATCCCCATATACAAGAAGGGAGACAAGTCTTCCTGTGATAATCACAGAGGGATTAGCTTGACTAATATAGTATCTAAAGTCTTAGGCTCAATAATCATGCGTAGACTGAGTGGTGCTCGGAGGCACAAACACGAGAGAACCAGGCAGGCTATAGACCAGGAAGAGGGTGTATTGATCATATCTTCACCCTCCGACAGACTCTAGAACATAGGCATTCCTACCGGCGTCCAACAGTCATTATATTTCTTGACCTAAAGGCAGCTTTCGACTCTGTCGATCGAGAAGTTCTCTGGAGATGCCTGGCTGTATAGGGAATTCCGAGAAAATATATTGCACTGATTAAGGCACTCTACTCGTACGCATACAGCCAGGTGAGGGCTTACGGCGAGCTGTCATCTGAACTGATGACGACCAGTGGTGTCCGTCAAGGATGCCCGTTATCCGATTTTCTATTCAACTTCATCATAGATGTGTTAATGGACTCAACCCTAGGTGACTTCAGTGACTCAGGGATTGACTTGCTACCAGGGAATAATCTCGTTGACTTGGAATATGCAGACGATATAGTCCTTCTAGGCGAAGACGCTGACGAAATGCAGAGTCTTCTAAACACCTTGAGCCGCAATCTACGAATGTTTGGCATGCGATTCGCTCCCGCCAAATGCAAGATGATGTTACAGGACTGGACTACATCGACGCCTAGTTTAAAAATAGGAAGTGAAGTGGTAGAGCACGTTGACCGCTTCACTTATTTGGGAAGTACCATCAGCCCCAACGGGTTGATCTCTGACGAAATCTCAGCACGAATACAAGGGGCTCGTTTCGCATTTGTTAGTTTACGCCGACTCTGGCGTAGACGAGATGTTCGACTATCGACCAAAGGGCGGGTGTACTGCTCATCAGTCCGCTCCGTCCTCCTTTATGGCTGTGAGACCTGGCCACTGAAAGTGGAAGACATGAAAAGACTAGCTGTCTTTGATCATAGGTGCCTGCGTTCTATTTCCCGTGTAAAGTGGCATAATAAGGTGAGCAACATTGAGGTGAGGCGTAGAGTTCTAGGTAAACAGGAGAAATCAGTCGACGAAGTCGTGAAGCTACAAAGACTGAGATGGTTAGGACATGTGTTACGTATGCCAAACCATCGCCTCCCTCGACGAGCAATGTTAGCGGATATAGGGTCAGACTGGAAAAAAGCTAGCGGCGGTCAAACAAAAACTTGGCGGCACCAGTCAATGAAATCCACAACAGTTGGTCTAAGCCACGTAGGAAGGTGTAGACTTCCAGGCTGGGGTCCTCGGGACGGTAAAAATCTATGGTTGGAAACAATTGGTGACATGGCTCAAAACCGTTCTCAGTGGCGCAGATGCATCCACTCCCTGTGACTTATGATCTTCAATGAAACTGTTTTGTTTTTCTTTATTACTCCTTTGTCTCACACCTCTGCTCACTGTTTCTATTATGCTTTTCTTGTACTTTCTTCTCTTGCTTCGCGTGCTACACGGAATGTGGCGACTTGAACTTCCGCACATTTGTGCAAAGTTCTACGTCGAAAACAGACAGAGACAGACAGACAGTTAGCCACATAGGGACGTGTAGATTAGCTGGTTGACTGGGGTCCTCGGGATGGTAAGAACCAATGACGGTGGCTGGAGACAATTGGTGATATGGCTGAAATCATTGTCAATGACAGCACAGTTGCATTTACTCTTTGTGATTTGTCATATCCAATAAAACTCTATTGTTCTTGCACATTACTATTCTTTTACCCTAACTCAAACTTGTCTTTATTATCTCTCTATGCTGTCTTCTCTTGCTTTGTGTGCTAAATGTATTGTGGAAACTGGAACTGCTGCACTTCTGTGGAAAGTTCTATGTTGAAACAGCCAGTCACTTCTATCCCTCGCCTAGTTTATCACCCAGTAGTAAACCTAGATAAGAGGAAGGGGTGGAGGTGAGGCTAACAACTCCGCAAACCCCCTGCCTAAAAATAATACCACCTCTGTTAAAACGTTGATGCTTGAAGCCTTGTGTTTCACATTTTGAAGGTAAAGAATGAGAAACAAAAATTGAATATTGAAGTCAAATTTCCTTTAGTGATGAGTTAAAAGAGGAAGAGGAAGACGACTCACTTGTATAATTACATCCATAAGATATTCTTGTGCAATGACATCACGACATTCAATGATCTGCTCCAAAATCGGTGGTAGTACTTGCTATTCGGAAGAAGAAAGAAAAATCAATCAAAAATTGAAGTACTGTTGATACTCCGAGATTTGCTTAACAGAAAATAAAGAGAGGCTGTGAAAACATGTTCCGATTAGAATAGAATTTACTTTTAATCTAAGGCGCATACCGCTTCACTATTTATTTATTTATTTAAACGCATAAAAACTTGGTACAATATGGCACCAAGAAGGATACGCCACACAATAATAATAAAACAAAATAGATCAAAAGAAAAAAAGAAGATATATATATATATAAGCAGAGAACGGATAAAGAACTTCATCAGGAAGGAAAACAGTCATGCTTAACAAGTTCAAACAGTATTCGTTAACTATCATCGGGAAGGGAAGAAAGAAGGAAATTGCAACACGTGTAATAGCACGCGATAAGTTTCACTGATTGTTTGTTGCTTTATTGAATTCATTGTGTGAGGGCTGGGATGCTGCCCGGGCGCCCAGACCGAAGCAGGTGGTTTTATTAAGGGACCACCCCCCGAGCCTTTGACTTGGAGTCTAATCCCCAAGGCAGCGGAGCAGAGTCAGGAGCTGCATTCCCATGGTTGACGGTGACCCATATGGGTTCATACGCCATTTGATCCGACTGGATACTGGAGCCCATGTACCCCATGGTAACTGCTTTCAGTTTAACCGCTATCCAAACAACTTTCCTGACATGGTAGGACCTGCAGGGACAGAGTCCCAGTCAGTTTAGCATGTTGGGTCATTACGGTATTCAAACCCGACCACCAAGACAAGGTAGCAGTTATCGGCCGGGTACAAGGTGATCAGCCACACATTTACTATATGAGGACTGGTAATATGACCCAGTTGATCAGACTGGAGTAGGTAAAGAGTAGGATTGCTTAGAAGTCTGTCTGTCTGTCTGTTTTCGACATAGAACTATGCACAAATGTGCGGAAGTTCAAGTCGCCACATTCCGTGTAGCACGCGAAGCAAGAGAAGAAAGTACAAGAAAAGCATAATAGAAACAGTGAGCAGAGGTGTGAGACAAAGGAGTAATAAAGAAATACAAAACAGTTTCATTGGAGATCATAAGTCACAGGGAGTGGATGCATCTGCGCCACTGAGAACGGTTTTGAGCCATGTCACCAATTGTTTCCAACCATAGATTTTTACCTTCCCGACGACCCCAACCATTCAGGAAGTCTACACCTTCCTACGTGGCTTAGACCAACTGTTGTGGATTTCATTGACTGGTGCCGCCAAGTTTTTGTTTGACCGCCGCTAGCTTTTTTCCAGTCTGACCCTATATCCGCTAACATTGCTCGTCGAGGGAGGCGATGGTTTGGCATACGTAACACATGTCCTAACCATCTCAGTCTTTGTAGCTTCACGACTTCGTCGACTGATTTCTCCTGTTTACCTAGAACTCTACGCCTCACCTCAATGTTGCTCACCTTATTATGCCACTTTACACGGGAAATAGAACGCAGGCACCTATGATCAAAGACAGCTAGTCTTTTCATGTCTTCCACTTTCAGTGGCCAGGTCTCACAGCTGGCCATAAAGGAGGACGGAGCGGACTGATGAGCAGTACACCCGCCCTTTGGTCGATAGTCGAACATCTCGTCTACGCCAGAGTCGGCGTAAACTAACAAATGCGAAACGAGCCCCTTGTATTCGTGCTGAGATTTCGTCAGAGATCAACCCGTTGGGGCTGATGGTACTTCCCAAATAAGTGAAGCGGTCAACGTGCTCTACCACTTCACTTCCTATTTTTAAACTAGGCGTCGATGTAGTCCAGTCCTGTAACATCATCTTGCATTTGGCGGGAGCGAATCGCATGCCAAACATTCGTAGATTGCGGCTCAAGGTGTTTAGAAGAATCTGCATTTCGTCAGCGTCTTCGCCTAGAAGGACTATATCGTCTGCATATTCCAAGTCAACGAGATTATTCCCCGGTAGCAAGTCAATCCCTGAGTCGCTGAAGTCACCTAGGGTTAAGTCCATTAACACATCTATGATGAAGTTGAATAGAAAAGGAGATAATGGGCATCCTTGACGGACACCACTAGTCGTCACCAGTTCAGATGACATGCTAATATCACGAACTGGTAGTGGTTAGAGTTCATGAGATGGCTAATTAGTCGCACCCTAATGACTGAATGGTTTACGAACTTTTCTTGTAACCGAAAAATCCTAGGTTCGAAACCCAGTGTGGTGACAGGGTACTGATGATGAGTTCAAAAGTAGGCTCACGAAACAATTGTCCAGTACTCCAGTTCTGTTTTTCAATGGTTCTCTAACTGATATCAATTCGTGGTCAGACTTTACGAAAATGACAAAATGACTACACCCAGTGGTCCAGTCTCTACGTCATGTATGTCCCCTTAGACAGTTTGAGGATAATAAGAGTGGATATGAAATCAGCTATTGCCTCAAAAAGAACTATATGTAAACGTATGAATAGAATTTTCTAAAAACCTACTAATAGCTTACCGTTTTATACTTTTCAACATCAATCGATTCAAGTTGAGATAATCTGTTCAAATTTGCACCAACAAGCAGACGTAATTCACGACGTTCTTGTTCACGTTTTTCACGATCTCTAGTATGCCCCTGATGTTGCATACGTACCCAAAGTTTATTCATTTCTGAGAAATTGAATAACAAGAAATTTATACTATCTTCAATAGTTCCTTGTGGATAAACAGGAGTTGACTTTTGACTAACACCTGATTCATCAATATTATTAGTATGATTATTTGTTTTATTTTCCTCTAAAGTCAGCTCAGTACCATTTTGAGTATTCTCACCATCGTTAACAGTTGCATTCACTGGTGTTGGTGTTGATGGGGAGTCCTGAACAATAATTGAATTAAAGAAAAACACAAATATACTGTGAGAGAATCAAACTTATAGAAAATTTGAGTATGAAAATGATTTAAACGTCTAAAATTACATTTCTAGATTTCCTCATGAGCTGACATCAGCTAGAGAATCGCTGAAAACCAGTACTCGTATACTGGACAGCTGTTTCTTCAGCCTAGATTGGAAATACTCTTCATCAGTACGCGCCCACCCCACCGCTAGGGTTTGAGCCCACGACCTTCCTGTTACAAGGCAAGCTCGTAGACCACTGGGGCCGCTGAGACTCAACTCCTCAATGGTCACCTCATGAATCCCAACTTCTGCCAATTCACGCCCAATATGCTGCGGGTATTTGTCCTCACGCCCGACCTTCCGTATCCCACTGGACGCGAGTTCGCTTTGTAACCAGAAGGTTCTAGATTCGAACCCTGGCAGTGGGGAGGGCGCTGAAGAGTGATCCCAAACTAGGCTGACGAAGCAACTGTCCAGTATTCCAGAACTGGTTTTCCAATGGTTCTCTAACCGATGTTAGCTCATGATGACATCCTGTAACCAATTAAATCCCTGTGAACCAACACTTGGACATTTCTAGGTGGTGGATATATCTCATAATACAACTCTTAGCAATCATTTGTCCAAAGACAGATGAAATGAAAGTCAGTAGTACAAGTTGGCTAACTGAATCCAAACAAGTGAGACAGTGTTGGAACCTGTGATTTACGCACTGAAAGTCAAAACAAAGATTTAAGGGAGGAAATTCCTCTTTGCGACGAGGAATATATATATATATATATATATATATATAGCTGTTCGTGTGGAGCTATGTTACAAGACCATTGGTGCATAGAAAACAGGATACAACTTCTTCTCTCTGTCCTTCTGATGTAAATGCTACCACACGTACAGAAGCACACGGTGAGAAGTAGATATTCAAAGCGCAGTTTTATCAGGTGACACCTTATAGATATGGGCCGCCATCTTGGTCAACATCTCCAAATCCTTCAAAATACTAAATATCCAAAGGATACCAAAATTCACTACGCTTTACCAAAACGAGTGCCATCTAACTGTTTTCCTCTTTTTGGTTACCTGTCTTTTCCACCTCATTTACTACTTTGCCAGACACACAGAAATTGATGATGATGATGATGACTTGAGCTAAGAAACTGTAATGCTATTAGATGGTTGGAGGCAATCGAAAGGAAGCCTTGCTTGACCTAGGTTTCGTCCTAGTTGGCACTCACCAGTCAGTAAGGCGTATCTGCAACCTTGAAGGAACTCATGTTCCTCCTGAGATTCGAAGCCGCGCCCGAAAAGCTCAGTGGTAACGTCTCTGACGTCTCAGTGCTGGGTGGCCCGGGTTCGAATCTCAGAAGGGATATGAGTTCCTTCAAGGTTGCAGATAGGCCTTGCTGACTGGTGAGTGCCAACTAGTACGAAACCTAGGTCAAGCAAGGCTTCCTTTCGATTCCCTCCAACCATCTAATATCATCAAATCAATGTGCACCATGATGGCGGGCTACCTAGAATGGTGGCCACATTACAACCTGACTGATAGAATTCATTCTGCGCCAATGAGAGGACTAGACACATCACACTAGTTACTAGTGTCAAATAAAAAATAAACTGTAATACTTATATATCAGACACCTTAATCTATGACATTTTCTCAACTATGATTCTAACAATGAAGTAAGTTATTTCCATTCTTTTATAACCAGTATAATTTAAGCTACCCTGCAGCAGATGAGGACGCTTGGAATAAAATGACGTCGTTCAACACTGCAGATTTGGTCTTTCTTGCTTCAAAATTTACCAGGAGAAGTAAGCGTGTACAAAGATGAAATCATTGCAGAGGGAGTTTTCTTCATTGAAAGTTTCTTTTCCTGTACACACCAATAAGGCTTATTCGTTTATTGAGTTGATTGTCACTGTTTAAAGATTTTGTTTAATAGACAACAACAACAAGCAAGCAAGCAACTCATGAACACTGGTCTTTTACAAGAAATACTTCATAAGAAATGACATAAAATCAGTATATCTCATGGAATAGACAGGGAGAACAATGTGCCAATTCAGTTTACCAAACGCGATTATTAAGAATATCACATAAGAAGTGTTACACATTAGTGTATAACAACTTTCATAACAGAATATTGGAACTATTTCTGTGATTAGTATATGAAATCCGACAGTAATAAACATAAATTAAAATGTTAGATTATTATTGTTATTGTTCCCTTGAGTTCCGAGTGCAACATAAAGCTGGCTTCAACAACACACCTCCACTTTGTCCTACTCTGTTCCGCCCTTTCCAGCTGGTCTCACACTTCCTCCTCGGACACACGCCCAACTCGTTGTTCTAATTCAGAGGTGGCGTGGCATGTGATGCCATGCAACGGTCTTCTCAGAGTAGGTCCAATCCACATCCAATTCATTCTGCACATTTGTTAGCCGACAGGTTCCCAGTTGACTCATTATAAGAGTTATTTGTTGTCTATTTCTCCTGGCCATTTGATCTTCAATGCGGAGCCAGCGAAGGCAGCTGTTGATAGAAGTCTGGTAGTAGCCTTATGGAAATGCTCTTCATGACGTGCATGTCAAGTTTCCCACTCATATGGAAGAACTCACTTAACATTGGTGTTAAAAATTCGAATCTTCCTTACACTGCAGGGTGAAGGGAGTTTCCAAACTGATTTCGGAGTCATGGTGATCTGTCTTGCCTTTTCGACTCTTACTGGTTTTGATATCGTCATTCGACTGCCTGTAGTTTAAATAGTACTGCCTGTTCAGATAAATCAAGGAAGTGACCTCCTCTTTCAAATTTACTCCGGCTGACAATGGATAGTGGACTCCTTACTCCACTCCTACTGCCTTGTAGGTCACACTTGGCTGTGTAAAGGCTAGAGCTGCACTCTCAAACAAAAGGCCGAGCGATGCTGGGGACATCACTCGTACCAAATTCCCATGAAACTTCATGAACTCTCTTACAAATTGCCGCGCCTGGGCAGCGATGATTCGAGACGTTCATGAAGCCGGCTCATCCTCCCGTAGGAGATAGCCGAAGTAAAGTAAGTAAGTAAAGTTGATAGTGATTGATGATTGCTGTTTGTTGGTTTTCTGCATCCCCTCTGTCCTCCCTATGTTCACTTCAAGTTTTGTCTTTGGTGCTTCTCCACCCAGTTTGTTGGTTTTCGACTGTAGGTTTTCGAGTTTGTGTGACATTAAACATAAATCATCTGCGGAATGACGACCTTCTAGATTTTTCATATCAGTCCAAAGTACCCCTGACAACAGTCAACCTCATACAATTTATTTTCATGTTAAACAACATTAAGAGAAACAAATAAAGATACCAAGAAAGAATCAGTACCTCAATATCTGGAAGGAGATCACTGCGTAGCGATTGTAACAGATAGCTTCTTAGAAAGAGACCTCTTGTAGGATGCTGTACACCAGAACACATCTCGACCAGATCACGAAGAATTTCACGTCGTGACAATTCAGAGCATTTAATATGATAAACTCCAACAGTGATAAGCAAGTACCTGAAATACATCAATAATTAATAAAAACACTGCAGTTAAGAGTTAAATTATCCTGAAAAATATTGCTCGAAAAACTTAGACTGACTTAACTGAGTGAGCACAGATTTCTCACCTGTTGAAATATGAAGTCAAGAGATCTTATTGAAATAAAATAAAACAACACTAGCAATAAATGGTAGTTTAGATAAGGTGGACTTGTGAACCGCTGAATTAGCGACCCAAGTTTTAACTGGTGTCTTTTACATGTTCACATCAGAAACTACATACATCTAACAGCTTAGTTAATGACTCAGATACTACTGTCTGGATGAGATATTGAGTTTCTGATTATTAGGCACAGATAGTACAAATATGAACTGACAATTAAAATACAAATGGGTATGCTTGAGAATAACCCAATCTTATTGTAAGATGATAAACGAAAGCGTGCAGATATTCAAACCACAACATTTTAAGATGAGTTCGAACCTACAACATACCCCTACATTTGTCAAAAAATTCACAAATCACCAATGTAAAAAGGCATCCAAGAGATCGTTAATGTATCATTCTATTTATGTGAGCTATATAAAAAATGCCAAATTCAATGCGAACTTAACATGCTACAGCATGTTTAGTTGGTTTCGTGTCTTCATTCTGATAAATACACTCACACCCAGTACTCGTTAGAAACTGACTGAAAAATTCATTGCAAATCACATTTCTTGAAAAAAAATCAAGTGACGAAACAGCAAAAGGGACTGAACAATAAATACTAATAAATGAGTGAACTTAATTACTACTGCGTAAAAATGCAGAACAAGTGTAAGTAACAGAACGATGCAATAATAAGGAAAGTATAATAGTCTAATCACTTGAAGAATGCTAATAATGACATATGACGGGATTAAGAGTGCCATTGAGTTGAAAGCGTGAATCTAATCCCATGCCTGACACAAAGAGAAACACCTATTGTAAGAGGGATTTCCATCTTGTGAAATATTCGTGTTTCTCTTATCTATGATTCATTAGTTTGAGAACACGACTTTCAACTAACAGATCCGTACAGAACAGTTGTGACTTGCCATCAACATATGATTTTTAAAGAATATGATCTCAAGTTTGATCAGGAACAGACCTCAGTTAGAGGACCATTGAAAGCCAAGGGGTCCTGGATTGCATTTTAGTGATTTTTCGGGAGTCTTTATCAATACACATACATTACCCCACCAGGGATTGAACCCAGGACCTTCGAATTACAAGGCCAGATCGTTGAACATTTAGCCACTAAGAGGGGACCCTATAGCTCATGAATTCTAACTTCTGACAAATCGGTCATATCCCTTCAAGAAAATAAACCCATAAAAGCATGTGAATTTGGACTTGAATATCCGACGATGTACATTTTCTTCGGCTGTCAGCCTTCAACCAGTGGATATTGGGATCGAACTATGCTCCACCTACTAGGATTTGGGTGGCCAGATAGTTTCACCTATACTCACAAAATAGGTACGAATCGTTAGCATCTGTATATAAATGCGTCATCGTTGAGGAAACCACCACATCCCCAGAGCTATTTTAACCTTAAATTAAAAATGAACTTTACTTAAAAATCACAATATATTGATACATCCTGACGACACTTAACCTGTACCGAGTACAAAAGTGTGGAGAGTATAATGATGCACTAGCGAACATAACAACACAACACTACTTCAAGCCTCTCAGGTTTGCAAGACCAAAGATGCAACAACAAGAAAGAGAAAGTGGAGAAAAAAGGACTCATATGAGTGTATAGGAAGTAGCGCTGAGAGCAATAACATGACCAAGAAATCGAAAATCGAAAACGACGTGAAGTTCCCTCACTGGTTACGGTTTTGTAAACATAAGTCACTATAATTAATCACACAAACAGAGTAAGACTAATTTACGTTTGTTCTGCATACGATGGTGTACACAGAAATACACCACGACTTATTGCATGTAGTTATAGATAAATCCTCCTGGTATTATTGAATTGCAGAAGGAAAATTTAGTACTGATATTTAAAGATTGAGCATATATATGTCACAAAATAGAGACTAATGGGTAGTACAACGCGTATGGCCACTGACATGAAAAACTAACAAGAATGTGACAAACGACAAGTAGTATCACTATAGCAGTAAAATGAAAGAGGTGTAGCAATTACGTCAGATAAAAAAGCCGATGAGCCTAAATAATTTTAATGGATATCTGTCGAATGAATAAGTGAAGGGTTTAGGAATACTGTAACTGATGTGGTACCCCTAAGAAAAGCTATGAAAACATTACAGTAGTGTTTAAGGCTGCAAGTATGTTGCGAAATAAAACAAACAAAATACCTCACAATTTCTTCGAAATAATAGGATGATATCACTTAACAGCCACGAAACTTAAAGCACATATTTACCCTCTCAGTGACTTTCGGGTAAATAGACGAAAAAGGGGCCACATATAAGTGGGGCAGTTTAGATTTATGCGAGTAGATGACTAAATCCTATTAACGAAAGTGTAACAGGAGAAAGATACAGACAGATATTCTATTGCAATTTGTTCGCCACTTGCAGCAATGAGACCTTATTTCTAAGAAGTTATGCCTTTTTAGGCAAATGATGAAGTTATTTGTCAGCGGAAACAACGGCAAAAACTCAATTAGATTAAACCGTAATATGATATACAATGCATTCTTTACAATTGTCATTTTATGTATTATTTATGAAATTATAGGTTTTAAAAATGTGACGACTCTTCTAGTAAAGTGTTTTCCCTGGTCAAGCTTAAACATCACTAGGACTTAAAGTAATGATTATCGATGCGTCGCAGATAGGATCTTGAGCCAACGCAGCCATTACTGCCTCAGTCTGAATATTTTTACCAAGTACTTTACTGTGCGTCGGTGGCACAGTGGTTAAGACTCTCGCCGACCATGCACATGGTCCCGGGTTCGAGCCCACACCGACGCACATCTGATATCTATGGTCGGCCTGCGAAATTTGGGCTACCGATATCCATGCTGAAAATTCCATACTTGTACCGAAAATACAGTGTGGAATCAAGCTGTAAATCAAAAAAAAAATCAAAAAAAAATCAACGTCCTGCCAAGATTCAACTCAATGAATTAGAAACTACCCAACAAGCACACTAGTGTGCTTGTTGGACTACCCGAGACCTGTTTAGTGGACTATAGTCCACTAAACAGGTCTCGGGTAGTCCAGTACTAGAACCACCCTTGACACAACAAATGATTCCGACTTATATATGAATACATGATCATCATTGATAATATTCATATTAATGCAACATATACATCACATCAAACGGACGAATATTCAAAGTAAAAATAAAAAACTATGAAAAATTAGAGGTGACTTACAATCGAGGAAGTATATTTGAAATGTACTGAACGGTCTCATATAAATACAAGACTTTACGTCCGTTTTTGTGTTCTTCAATGAGATAAGATTCAAGAATGCGCAATTTATCTGTAACAACGATATCTACCGAGGTAAATAGAAAAATTGAAGAACTTACAAAGTTCATAGTATGCTTTCGGTGAAAGACTGCAGTTCTTCATTTCCATAACCATATTAGCCGCATGCTGTATCGCATCCACCAGATACCGTTTATCCTGCAAGCATATCTCATAAGCGTCACAACTCACCAGAGAACATTCCATCTGACATGCATGTTGCCTAACATTGCATAGGCACTCTTCTAAGAGGCTTTCTTGATCTTCTTTAGGAATCATTGCAACATAACGCAAAAATTTGGGATTTGTGCTGAAACGCTGAATGTCCAATATCCGTTTTAAGTGCTTACACCATTCTTACGACATCTTGGTTCTCGATCCTTGTTGAGTCGGAATGTCTACAAATATCCGATAGATCTGTCACAAGACTAAATATTTAATGTTATATTCACAACCTAGTATGAATTCTGTGTAAGATTGACTTGAAATTGTGACAGTTGTTTCTGAAATTTAGTAGATTTCCTCCACTTATGTCTCTGGTTAGCCGCGGCTTTGATGGTTACTGCGGAAAGTAGTGCGCTGGTTAAAGTTGGAGGGTCAACTTTTGTTTCTGTTTAGATCTTGGAGTCTTAGCGATCACCGTTTTTCTTCAGTTAGTCGCACTTTTTTGATTGAACGCTATTAGATGGGGATCGACGAAATAGCAGTGTGATGATTGAGAAAAAGAGGATAATCCTGAAAATAAAATGTTCGAATTATTCGGATAAGAGTATGGCGGCATAAATTTGGGTGATTTACGGTCTGTTAAACACTAGATGCTATTGAGTGATTACGTAACATATCTGAGGCCGTATGTGTTTCTGCCAGAACGATCTCTTACTTCATCGTTGATCACATTTTTAATATCTTCGGCAATATCCAAAGCAGCACCACAAATATGTACAAAGTGGTGTTTTGTGGACAGTAAAATTAGGAAGAAGGATGATCTCCATGGTTCTTTCGAATTCAGGAGTAATTGACATAATGTGGCCCAGATGGATTCCCAGAATTATCTGAAGATGAATGGCTGGATGTTATCACAAACTTAGATTAAGTTTCCTCAATTCATTTAGGCCCTTAGAAAATTTTTAGAAGGCAGAAATACTATGTCTCCGTCCAATGACTCATCGAGGTTGTCATTCTGATTGACAATAGTGTAACTAACCATTTTCTTTGGCTAATCGTTAGAGAAAGAGCTGAAGACTGAGACCATTTCTATGCACGTGGAGCTTTATATATCTGGATGTTTTATGGCACGCTTTCCTTCATTGTTAAATATACCTGAAACTTATTATAAGTCCTCTGAGTTTATGAGGTACTTCATTGGAAGTTTTGCCTGGTATGGCCCTCTGTTTATCTGCCGCTGTGGGTTTTATTTGAGATTTTTTGTATCACTTGATCACTTGTTAGAACATAGTTCGGTTTTGATAACGGAAGCCACCTGGTCTCATCACCCAGTGCTTCACAAGATGCTTACTGGGGTCGTCCACAGAGCTAGCCGAGGTAGCGCGAATTCTTCCGATATCCAATATCTCATACCCTCCTTATAGTTTCGTGTGTGTTTGTTTCTTGGCAGTGACGCAATGACCCTTGATTTTTAAAAACATTGAATCCACCGATGTCAGATGAATTCCTCCAATAGCACATGAAAACTGGTGAGTTGCTTACGCAACAGATTATTTTCAGTGTCAAATCAATCCATGATACCCAATTTATATCAGCTTATGGAACTACTGAACTGACTCAGGTGTTACATTTAATAGTTGGTTCAGGCCCGACGACGTAAACCTTCGAAGCACAAATCAGGTGCATCTGAACACGATGAATGCCGCAATATGACTGTAGCACAAAACCTACATGAACGATATCTTTCATATCATAGCACAGAAGTTGAGAAAACGTTGTCCTGCCTATTCCTAGTATTTCCATCTCAAGTTAGGATACCGATCTTCTCACTTACTATGTAAATAATCATTCAGTAACGACCCAAGCATGTAAGGCGTTAGATATAACGGTTACCCCCGGCTTTGATTTCAAACAGAGTGAATAAAGATCCGAGAGACCTTTCTGACCTCTATTACAGTATGCTGTGGTCTGTTACCACGAGCAGGAGAGATTTATCCTGCTATTGCCTTTGGAATACTACCACAGAACCAGCTAGCTATTTTGTTGGAGTGAAAAATACCTAGGGTTGTCAGAGTTAGTATTATGAGCTGTGTGCAATCAAATCCACTACCCATATATGAACGTTGACACTGGGCGACGTTTGTTTTTAGGTTGGATCTTGGTTGCGTGACAGCTTTAAAGCAATAATGGGAACGAAGGTGTGAACCGTACTCACTCCACGATACCTAATTTACAAGCCGTCCCAGAATCTTTCGTGGCCGTGACACCTGTGTCTATCAGAGACCAGAGGGTAAGAAAGAAGGTAGAGTGGTTGATTATTGTTAGATCTGATAATTTGGCAAAATGGAGGATGAACACTAACAACGTTGGGTTATCCCTCCAACATTAAGGGTCTTCTCCTGAATCCGCGTATGAGCTCACTAACCTTAGTTCTGATTCGTGATCAGTAATGCCGTAATGCAGTCAACAGCTCCTATTGATCGAACTTAAGTGTCAAGAAAGAAGATCAGAAGAGTTCATAAATGTACACCATCTCGGATTGCCCCATGTGGATCAACACCCACTTGCATTTGCAGGTGTCGTGAGTACTATTTCTAAGGGTTACCGTTCTTTAGTCCTGAGAAGCCATGGACAAACATAGAGATTTCGGATACTAGAAAGAATTTCATCCTTGGTATAATTACGGCTTCACGGCCACTTGTGAGACAATTCCGTCGCTAGGACTTAGAAGCGGAAACTGACATTTTTCTGTTATCCAGCAGTTTGATGCCCCCTATCTAAGGAGTGTATTTCTTTCCATGCATATTTGCTCACAGTGAAACGGGGTGAACCTCTTCATAAGTTTGGATTCGTCCAGGAGACCAATAAAGTGATATTCCCCACTCAGAGGAACTGGGGTCTCCAAGCGAATTACTCGGATAAGTGATTATCTTGTTATGCATATCTTCAAAGCACCCTATGTAAACCCGAAGTATTTAGCTCAAGGAAATGCCACCATAGGGCAAACACTGGTATTTTTTAGACAGTCTTTTTCAACTCAAGGCTCCACGCTTGTTATGTGTAACCAAAATAAAAAAAATAAATAATCAAACTGCACCAATATTGACTATTTACCATATTGGTCAGGCAAAAAATCTATAGGATTTCATCGTTCTGATGAAAAGTAAACACCCAACATGTTGTTGCGTGACCCATTCCCGGGATACCATCCCCATAAATTTTCAACCATCTCTTTCCAGTATCCAATATCGCTTTTACAAGCTAATGTGAACCAATTTGATGTCTTTTTGCTCACTTCTTGATAGTGAGGTAAAGGTTCTTGGTCTTCTGCTAACTCCTGTGTAGTTTGTCCCGGGACCCAGCTGTCGTGGCTCCGGTTGACTTCAAAAGGAGTCGTGCTGGGACTAATCAGTTTGTAGTGTGTGGTGTGTTAAGGCTGTGTTGCTGATCTAAATGAAGCTGATTCTTTCAACAGTTAGGATGACATAATAATGACATACATTTAGTGTAAGTTATGTGGACTAAAAGAAAGGAAAACAAAGAGGACGTAGAAACAGACAGCTAATGAAGTTTGAAGTTGACGTAAAAATATAGATGCATGTATATAAACATCAATAATCAAATAATAATAGTGTAGGGGTATCATGATTAGTGAACTCAGGATGGTAGGACAAGAGAGAACGTGAAAAATTAAACAATCAGTTCAGATGTCTATTCATTAGTAGCGTATCAGTTGTAAGGGGATGCGCCTGGACGCAGTCCATGTGTTTCTACATGATTTTACAGCCCTCCTATGAAGTTGTCGACGGGCGTTGCCCTAGCTACATCTGCCGGTAAAGAGTCCTGGAGACGGCAAATTCTCAGCGAAAAGAAGTGAGAATTCACTGCGGTCTTCGCAAATTATCACGAGGAAGCGCATTAATAAATAATAGTAGGACACCTTCATTTATCACCCGTCCTGCTGTCCGTCTTTAAATTCTACCCAAGAGGTTTGCGTTTCTTCCAAGCAGTGGGGTGTAATGATATTATGCACTTCAAGGTGTGGCCTGGAGTATGTTTTGTGGAACATTAGAAAGGGCTCAATGATGAGTGCACCTTTCTGTCTATGTGTAAAGTATATGACCCCATATGCCCTCGCTAAACCCGTGTGTAATTTATGCTTGTTTCCATTTCTTCGCTGGAACTAGACCTAAGTCACGCTCCGACGTTGTGCAGAACAAGCTTTCGTTGCACAGGGTGTAACTTACATTTTTTATTACAGTTTGATTCCACACCATATTTTTGCTACAAGTATGGAATTTTCGGCATGGATATCGGCAGCTCAAATTTTGCAGGCCGACTATAGATATCAAGTGTGCGTCGGCGGGTGATCGAACCCCGGACCATGCGCATGGTCGTCGAGAGTCCTAACCACTGTGCCACACACTCACATTCTGAAGCCTACGGGAGCGTGGTTGCACTAGTTTGCACTTTTGAGGTTGAAAGTCATACCAATGACCACCACCCAGTCTCCAGAAGCTTTATGTCTGCCTGCGACTTATCTGAGTCTTCTAAAAACTTTATTGCGCTCCATATCTTAAGGCCGTCGGGGAGCTTAGAAAGCATGGTAGGTGATTGATAAAATTAGAAAGTATATGTGGCGCTCATAAAGAACCCTGTGACACTCCTGATGAAGAGGCTTGCCAAGGTGATCGGACTTGATTGACCTTAGTGCGGAGTTTCCTTTCAGCTAGGTAGTCCTTGGAAAATGACAGAAGCGGCTCATCTGTACCTGCTTGACTTGATTTGTGTAGGGGAAGGTGATGGTGAACTGTATCAAATGCCTTCTCAAAGTTTAGGAAGACTACATGGACTGAAGCATTCATATCCCAGCATGATGTCCAATCGTCTCAAGGTTTGTTACACGGAATCTGCCTTTCCTGTAACCGTGTTGGGCTTCATGGAGTCTGTTAGTCCTAACGAGGTACTTCCTGGTTTGATCATCAATAATACTTTCCAGTACTTTCGATACCACAGTGAGTAGGGCCACTGGAATCTTGCCTATCTCCACCCTTGAAGATAGGAGAAAGGACAACTCTTTTCCACTCCCCTGACAGTCGGCCAATACGGTAGTACTCACATTGGTGTAATACCGTTTCGCAAAGGCTGGGCTGAATGCTTCATCCATTTTCAGACTAATGAGATGTTGATCATTTGAACCCACCAAGACGCATGCCCACTGGTTAGTTAGTTCGCTCTCCAACACTGATCGGTAAAGTTTTTTTGGGGTTCACCATAAGTTTCTTGGCGATTTCAGCCTGAAACGAACTCCTGTGACTCCTGAATTTTGTGTCTCACCGGTTCTTGAGTTCCACAGGTGCATCCTGTTCGCTCTGACTCGTTGATATTCGCCACAAAGAGCAAACCTTCCTCTTTGCTTGCAAAATACG